GGTGGGCACATTCCTGCCTGGGGCTCTGCAGCCTCTGCTCCCTGTGCCCACTGTGGATGAGGAGCCCTGGGCTGCCCATGGGAACAGGATCATCCTGCCCAGCCAGCCCTGCCCACGCCTGGGCCCCAAACACAAACCCAGCAAGGAGGGACAGGCCCGTGGGCCAGCAGTGGGCTGGGTTTGTCCTGTTCCAGCCCCAGCTGGGCTGGGTTTGTCCCATTCCAGCCCCAGGGCCAGCAGTGGGCTGGGTTTGTCCCGTTCCAGCCCCAGGGCCAGCAGTGGGCTGGGTTTGTCCCATTCCAGCCCCAGAGGCAGCTGGGCTGGGTTTGTCCCATTCCAGCCCCAAGGCCAGCTGCTCTGGGTTTGTCCCGTTCCATCCAGGCAGGCTTGGGCAGCCCCACAGGGCTCTGCAGTTCAGGGTCAGAGGATGAGGATGAGCCCAGCCTGAGCCACAGCAGCTCTTGGCCTTGCAGGGACATCCCAGGTGATAAATGGGCATGTTGAATTTGGTTTCATTTTAATGAATTCATCTGCCAGGTCAGTCAGGAGGGTTAACACAGCCTCCCTCAGCCCTGCCTCTGGCCTGCCCCTTGGCTCGAGGCAGCTTCCAAAATGCCACATCAAAAGGAACAAGGCCAAACTTTAGAGGGCTGAAGTGCCATGAGGTGCTTGGAGGGACAGGGATGGGGGCTCCAGGTGGGACCCCCACCCTGGGAAGGGTGTGGCTTCTCCTGCAGGAAGAGAGGAAGAGGAATCCTTGTCCACCATTCCCTGACAGCCTCGGGCCTGGCCCTCTGTACCGGGCTGGGTGAGCTCTGGGCACCCTCCTGACAGCATTCCTCATGTCCTGCAGAGGTTTTGGGGCTCTCCAGGGGCAGGATGGCCACGGTGGGGGCAGTCAGGACAAAGCTGAGCATCCTCTGGGAACAGCAGCCCCTCTGGGCAGGTGGAGAGGGATGGCACAGGGGTCCCCACCTGCCCCCTCTGTGGCAGCTGCTGACACCCCTGGGCTGGAGCTGAACTCCCCAACACTTCCAGCGCTGTCTGTCAGCCAGGATTAGGGAAAGAGCCTGTGGATGGAATGAGAATATCCAGGTCACCTCCAACAATACCATGACATTGGCTTAGGGAAATTATTACCAGCTCTACCAGGCATGTGTGCTGCAGATAACAGCACAAAGGAGGCATTGAGCTGGCAAGCAATTGCCAAGAGTTGGGCACTGGACATGTATTTGGATGGGTTATTGACATGCAAAGTGCTCCCTTTAAGTGGCTCTGATCCATCCAGGCCTGGCAGAGCAGCAGCAGGACCCGAGCACCTCAAGCCATGCCCATGCCAAGCTCTCCTGGCTCTGCAAAGCAGGGACAGGGGTCCCATCCCATCCCCAGCTACCCCCAACAGGTCACTCACCAGGACACTGATGAATCCAGGGTGGGACAGAAGGACATCTCCACAGGATGAGCACCTGAACTTCTGCTCCTGTCCTGGCTCTGGGGCCCTGCTGGCTCTCTGGGCTGTCCATGCCTCTTCCAAAAGATGCAGGAATGAAGTGAGGAAGGACACTGATGCCACTCACACCCCTGAGCTCCTGGGGCCACAGAGAACCACCAAACTCAGTGGCCACCACCCTTGTCCCCCACAAAACTGCTCCCATTTTTACCTTCACCAGCCACAATTCTCAGATCCTGCTGGGAGCAGCTGCTCTCTCTCTTCAGACCGGTCTGAGGCCACCCTGCCCTCCAGGACAGCCCTGGGGACACAGAGCTGAGCCCCAGGGACACCCTGCCAGGGCTGCACCCACACACCCAGGGCCCTTCCCAAGGGCAGGGCTTGGTTTTAATTTGCACGATCCCCATTTTTATTATTTATCAGTAAAGTGTAATTACTGCTTCCTTCACGAGCCTTAATTAAAGATGAAAAACAATCCTGACAAGTCAATTAGATTTTTTTCCTTGGTCTCCATTAAATTAAGACTCAAGTGTTACTGGAAGTGTTTCATATCACAACACATTTAACTGAAGGCTGCTTCATAATAAATAAATCACTGAAGACAATGCAGGAACTTTTCCTGAAGGCTCTTCTTACAACAGGATTTCATTTTCCAGCTGGGAAACGCTCTGGTGCTCTTTTTGCTCCACAGCACCTCTTCCACAGGAGTTGTGGGCAGCCAGGGTGGCTGTGACCTCCAGGAGGGCACCAACAGCAAAACTCTGGAAGCACAAGGCAACCCCATCTCCTCTGTGCCATGGGGACTTTGCAGGAACCTGGCCCTGCAAATCTATTCCCAAAAATGCCCTTTAAAAGATAGGGCTGAGAGAGAGGCTTTTTCTGCACCTCAGGGCTCCCCACATCACAGCTCCCAGCTCAGAGCCAGGAAAGAACTCCAGAGGCCATCACAAATTTGGAACATTTATTTATGCAACTAATTTTCTTAAAAGGAAAGAAAGCCAAAAATAATATAATAACAAAATAATAAAAAAACCATTAACAACAGCTGGATGTGTGTGGTACAATCCACATCAGACACGTCCCTCCCTCGGTCCCAATGCTCCATCCTCGTCCATGGTGGAGCTGCCTCATGGTCCCAAGTCCCTTTGGCACCAGGTCTGGGATGCTGCCAGCTTTTAGGATCACTTTGACTGCATATAGACAAAATTGTTCCAATTTGCTGTTTTTCTTGGGTTTTAATTTTTTCCTTTTTTTTTTTTTGTTTTGTTTTTATTTTTAAAAAAAGCACCACTCCAATCTGTAATACCAATAAACATTACCCATCTTAAGAACAGTATTTATATTTTTATATATAGATTTCTATATATAGATTTCTATGTACAAGATGTCCTTGCCTCATGTCAGAAGAGCATGTCAGTAGGAGTTGGAGATGGGCGGGGTTTTATAGCACTTGGATTTCAAAATCTGCCCTTCACCAGAGATGCCCTAAAAACCCAGAGACACCAAGCAAGGAGGTATCAAAATAAAATAAAAAGGGAAAACTCTTGATTTTAAAACATATATACAACTCCTCCAGTCTCTGTTGTCTCTGTAGGACTAAGTGGGGTTTTACCCCTCCTCCTTTTCCCCTTTCTGGCAATACTTTACCTGCAGAGTCCTGTGGGATGCTCCCTCCCTCTGGACCACAGGCAGGATGTAGCCCAGGCAGCAGCATTGCTGGACAGCCCCCAGAGCATCCCATCCCGTTCCCAGGGATTTTGGAGGCTCAGCTCAGCCATTTTCATACAAAACCAAACAATTTCTGCACTCAGCATGCAGCACCTTCCCTAGGACAGCACGGGCAGGGCTATGGAGAGATGGGTACTGGGAAAAGGACACAGATTTATCCCAGTGTGAGTACTGGTGTAGTCAGGTACTGGTTTTACTGGACCATTTGGGGGTAAAAAAGACCTTTTGGTGACAAGACAGAATGGGCACACTGCAGATGAGACAGCAGGGATAGCAAGAAGGAAGGAATGATGTCATATAGCCCTTGGCATAAGTTATTGTCAGACTGTGAATTCCTCAGGGAGGAGGTGGCAGAACCAAGGGTCTGGGATGGTGCTGAAATCCCCATCACCACAGCAGTGGCACATTGTCCAAGGGCAGAGAGGGCAGGGATGGCTCTTCCTGCTCTCTTTAACCCTTGGAAGGTGGATGGAAACATCTCCTGGGTTTGCTCCTCCGGCCATTTGAGCTGTGCAGCCTTCCTGATTCCCTGGGCAGAATTCCCTGGGCAAGGCTGGCCAGCCCCAGGCAGGCAGGGCAGGGAAGCTGCCCCTGCCCTGGGCAGGCATGGCTGGAGAGGGGGGAACACAGATGGACGTGAAGGGGGCAGATGGATGAAGGACAGGGCTGCCCTCATGAAAACTCCAGCATCTGGAGGGGTTTCTCACCTGCTCTGCTCCATCCCCCCCAGAAGTGATGGTAAAGGGCTCAGCCTGGCCCTCAGGACAGAACCAGCCTCCCCTCAGTTCCCAGATCTGGATCCCTCGGGATGCACCTTCCCAAGGCCATTTATTTTATTACAACCAGGCTGAGAGCAGTATCTCTGGAATTACCACAACATCAGATGGAAAAAGTGCCATTTCACACCCGCCTGCAGCAGGATGGAGCTAAAACACCTCAGGTACCTTCAGCCTAAAACACCCCAGGTACCTTCAGCCACCAGCCCCGGTGGCACAGGAGTGTGGGGACCTTTCCCTGTGCAGCCCCAACACACAGCCATGGCTTTGGCACAGCTCAGCCCAAAATCAATCCTGCTGCCCCACCAGGCCCAGCAACTGCCCAGGGGTGGCACTCAGGAAGTATTTGGGATAGACCCAAATTTTGAGGATTTTGCTTTAAATGCAGTGATGCACAAAGGCAGGGTTAAAAACAGACCCATGGGTCAGTGGGACATCAGGAGGAATTCACTGCTACAGATGGAGAGGAAGGTGTGGAGATGCTGGGGAACCATCCCCTCCAACACTTTGCAAAAGCACCAGGAGGGTCCAGGTCAGTCCTTGCAGAGGGACATTGCATGGCCAGTGCCCCCATCCTCATCCCTGTCTGTCCAGGCTGGATACACAAAGGGTCAGAACTCACAGAACTAACAGAGGATCAAACTCATGGTGCCTGGGGGCAGAAACTCAGAGCTCCTGGGGGATTTGCACTGGCTCAGAGTGAGCCCCAGCAAGGGAAAACCCCCAGCAGCCTCCGAGCTCCTCGAGGAGCAGCTTCAGTACCACACACAAAAGAGCAACATCTCCCAGTGTCCATCCTTCTGTGATGGGAAACAGCCTCAGCTCCTCGTGGCCTCCTCTTCCTCCCCTCCCTGGCCTCCTCTCCAGCAGCTGCAGAGACCCAGCAGCACCAAGGCCAGGCTGTGACTCCAAGGAACCGGCTGAGCTGTGGGATCCACCCACTGGGACATGCCCAGGGCAGGGAGGGAAGATGGAGAGCGGAGGATGAAGGTGGAGAGTGGCCAACACATCTCCATGTCCTTTTGTTTCCCGGATCCCAGGTTTCCTGGAGGGTCCTTGGCTGTCTCCCTGAGCAGGGACACAGTGCCCAGCTGGGAAGCGCGGCTGGCACGGCCCTGCACGAGCCCTGGTGCCCCTCTCGTGGCCAGGTGCTATCTGCTCTCCAGGGACTCCAGGTATTCCAGTGCTATGTCGTAGCAGAAGTGGTACTGCTCCTGTTCAGAGAGAGGAGAGAGCGTGTTACAATCCGGAGGGAGCTGTTTCCCTCAACAACAGGAAAGTTGTGAGGAGAAAGGAGAAACACATGTCACCAGCCCTCAGGAAACACCTGCCAGCCTCCCAGGGCCCCCTGACAGTTCTGCTGAAGCCACAGCCGGGAAAAACTCCACTCCTGGCAAACAACACCCACACTGGGGCAGGGGCGTGGTGCCCCAGATCCAACAGCTCCACACACACTGAAACACAGCATTTTGGGGACACACAGCACCGTCACCTGCCCCAAGGGAGGAACCAGGACTGCAACATCCCCTTATTGTGAAAATACCTTTATTCACCACCCCAGGTACAACCAGCACTGGGGGCTCAGCAACTTAATCACCTCAGTGACTGACATGTGTCAGTCAAATGATGGAAGAGACGTGGGAACAATGGAGTCTGGGGTCAGAGGTGTCCACAACAAAGCCTTAGGTAGGAAATCAAGGAGGTTTTGTTTCTAAGTTCAGCAGAGGCTGGAAAAGGGGAGAGCACCCAGGCAAATATCCATGGTGGGAGTGGATGGAGATACCCTGCCCTGGCTGCCAGGACATTCTTTTATCATAAATTCTCTTGCCCAGCAGGACCAGGCTCTTTCTCCCATCTTTTTGTGAGACATCCAAGGATGGTGTCAGCATCCTCCCACCCTTCACTCCCCGTCAGCTGCACAAAGGGAAAGCCCAGAGTGTCTGACTCCTGGTTTTGAAACAAAAATCCCTGAACTGGGGCTTGTGAGGGCAGGCTCATCCATCCCTGTGGTCCTGTCCATGACCTGTTCCCATGCTCTCCCACCCTCAGACAAATGACAGCACAAAATCCTCATGAGAGCTCTGACCGTGGCAGTGCCCATCCCAGGAGAGCAAAACCCCAAACAAATCAGGATTTTGGTGCTGCTACAGGCACTGGGACATCAGGTGGGTGTGAGAGCAGGGAGGGAGAGGGCAGAGCTCCTCTCCCCAGATCCTGGCCGCAGGCTGGGGATTGCAGCCTGAGCAGTGGCACAAAAATCCTGTTATCCCCCACAGGATCCCAGGTGGGAGCAGGCAGAGGGGGAGAGGGACTTCAAAGCGAGGAGGCTGCGGCAGCCCAGATTAAAAGCACATAATGCTTTTTGGATTAAGGAAAGGGATTGTTTCCATTTATCATCGTATAAAAATAACCCCTGGGGCAAACACAGGGGGAAGGGGTGCAGGCAGCAGGAAGTGCTCTCTGCTGGGCTGAGCTCCTTACACCAGGCATGGATCCAGCCTCCCAGTGACTCTGGGAGATTGAGATTCCCAGAATAGCCAGTTCAGCTTCATTTGAGGCAGGAGGAGGCTTGTGTCCTGATGGGAAATGTTACCTTTTCTTAATACCCTTGCAATTTAGCCCAATGGGTCTGGTGGCTTCATGCTTGTCACATCATCTTTCCATTATCTGCATCCATCCCCTGCTCCCCTCTCCCCTCCCTCTCCTTCTCCTCTGCTTTTAATTCCTAATGCAAATCACATCCCCTCCTCAAAACCATTTCATTTTGCAACTTAGGGATTATTTGATCTAAACAGGGTAAACATTTCCAGCTGACTTGCTTTTAAAACATCATGAGGCACCTGGATCCCTCCACCACAGGGACAGATAAGTGCCCGCTCCCTCCCCTGTTCCATCATCAGGGCCTGAATTAGGGTAGGGGCTTTTTGCCCTGACCTGCTGCCAGCTCCAGCCTCCTCCTCAGGACACATCACTCCACTGCTGTTCCCAGCAGCTTGTGCACCCATTAATTTCACTCCAAGTGCTGCTCATTCCCTTTCAAAATTCTGACAGGAATTTCTCTCACTCCACACCAGCGCTGCTCCCAATGCCACAAACCTTCCAAAGGACCACAGTTACATCCCATGGGTTAACATGACCGGGCCTTACAGATCCTGGGGAGGATTTCCAACAATCCCAGCACTGACTCCAAGGCAGGATGAAGACAAGCCCAAGGCTGCTTTGAGGAGCTGCCTCACTTCCCAGCCCACCCCAGCACAGTGCTGCCGTGAGGATGCCCATGATGCTGATCAGGATTTGGGGTGGAAAAGGCAGCATTTTGGGAGGTGAGCATCCCCAGCAGCTCTCCTCCGTGCCAAGACCAGAAGCCAACGTGGACAGGGAGGGTGTGGTGCTTACCAAGGTCTCCACCATATTTGGTTTGTAGTTGCGGAGGGTCTTGGCAGCAAAGAAAACATCTGCCATGTTGTGACACTTGATCATCTCCAGGATCATGGTGGAGGCACAGAAGGTGCCACTCCGGCCACCTCCGTTCCTGGTGGGACAAACACACGTGTCAGGGGTGACAATCAGGTGGCATCAGAGCCCCTTCCTGCTCCCTTCCAAGTCTCCCTTTCTCTATCTGACCCTGCATCCCAGGGGATGTCCCAGAGCAGGGGCTGTACCTGTACCAGGGGACCTGAGCCTGCCCCATGGGGTGGCAGGACAATGATCCTGCCCTCCAACCCTCACAAGAGCATGAAAACACCCTTTTGGATTACCAAGGCTGGATCTTGCACATTTGGGCTCAGGTCCCAGCCCTGCCATGGATCAGCTCTCTGTGACCTTGGGGAAGCTGCCATGTCCCTCCTGCCCTGCACAGGGTGACCCTGGGCTGGTGACACGGTGCTGCTGCTGCCTGGAGGAACTGACCCACAATCCACACAGGGCACTGGGAACCTCCCCAAATCCTGGGCTGAACCCCTGCTCCCACACCACCACACCTGCAGCCTGACAGCAATGGGAACACGGGAGAGGAAGAGAGAACACTATGCCAGAGCTTTATAAAGCATGTTCTCAAATTATCCTTCAGCTAACGAAGATGGACAAGGCTGTAATTAGTTTTTGATTAAAGGCTTCACTTCTGTCTTTTCCCATCTGTGAAGGTGCTAGGTCCCATCTGAGGGGAACACACAGGAACACACATGGTGTTCATGAGCCAATCCCACTGGGAGGACAGGGGTGGACAGGGCTTGGAGCAACCTGAGGTGTCCCTCCCACTGGAACAAGATGAGCTTTAAGATTCCTTCCCAGGAAATCACTCCATGATTCTCTGTCCCCCCACAACGAGCAGCAAGTGGGAGTGGCACAGCTCCTGCCACGTCCCTTCGGTGCTCTGTTACACACAGAGGATGTGGGGACAGGGCTGGGACCTCTGCCAAGGGTGGGAAACCAGCACAAAGGGCAGGTTGGTGTCGCCCCTGCTGAGCACCCATCTCATGGAGGAGGTGACCCAAAACACATGTTGTGGCAGAGGCACAGAGGCAGCCCCATCTGGGGACAAAGTCACCCCAGTGAGGGCTTTGTGAGGATCTCCAGGCAGTGCTGTGGACACGGAATCTGGAGGCATCTCTCCCTGGGCAGAGCCTGCTCCTCCCCAGCTGACACTCACAAGCAGTGCACCACAGTCCTGCCATCACCACTTTCCTTCTGCCACCTCTCCACCTGGGCCAGGAGGTGCAGGAAGGACTTCTTGGAGTCCGGGGTGTCTCGATAGGCTGACCAGCGCAGGTACTGGAAATGCCGGACCATCAGGTGCCCCTCCTGCAACTGGAAAAGTAAAACTCATCAGCTGCAACCCATGGGCTGCCCTCATTTGCCTCCACTGGAGATCTCACAGAGGGCAGGAGATATTTGATGGGTGGAAAGACAGGTTCGCCACACATGGACAGTAGAGGCAGAGAGGAAAACCCTTTCCTGCTGCTTTAACGTGGGTTTTTCAGCCCTGACCTCCAGCTCACACTCATTCCACCACCCCATCCCACCCAGGAGAACTCCACTGCCATGGTTTATTTGACCTCACAGCATCTTGGGCTCTCTCTGTATCTCCCAAAACCTGCTCCCAGGCCCCTGAGCGTCCTGGAGGCTTCTCCATCACACCTTCTTCTTTGCATGCCCAAGATCCATGAGATGTGGTTCTGTTGTGCTCGCTGTAAACCAGGAGGCTGCTGAGAGGCTGCCACGGAGGCGGGAGCTTAATACCTGGTAATCTGGTTAGTTTGGGAAGCTAATCTGGTTAGCTGGATCCAGGAGGAGGATTACATGCACGGAGCTCAGCAGGCTCTGACTGGGCAGATGTGGGACTCCTGCTCAGGAGCACTCGGAGCATCCTGAGTACAGGATGGGATGAGACCACGGTCAGCCCCCCAAACACAACCTGGGGCTCACAGCTCATGTGTGGGGAGCATGTGGAGGAGAAAGGGGGGGTCAGGGCCAGATGGGGGGTCAGGCACAGATGGGAGAAACTCAGCTCTGGAGGCTCCATCCACACAGTTTCAGGTGGCTGTTGAGTGGGATGAGCACCAGACCTTCCCCACCAGCAGGACCAGGTGTTCCTGTGGGGGAGTTGGTATTCCTGGGGACTGAAAGTTGGGGGCATTTGGTGCCCACTCTAACCTGCACATTTCAAAAAAGGGGCTTTTCTGAACCTTTTTGGGAGCTTTCCTGAACCTTTCTGGGAGCTCTGATGTGAGCTGATGATGTGCCTGTGATAGCCTGACCACCCTAGGCTCCAGTTTTTGCTTCCAGCTGGAAGCCAGGAAAGCAGAGGAGGAAGAGGAAGCAAATAAGTGGAGTTAAAACAGAAGAAAACTCCTTCAACAGCCTGGGAAGGAAAGTTTTGGGATCTGCTTTAAGTGAGGTGAAAGCTCTGGAGCACTTGTGACACCCCCAATGCCCATCTCCATTCCAGCAAGGCTTGGCACAAAGTGGCTCCATGCATTTCCCAGCCCTGCTCCAGCAATCTGCTCCCTGGAGGAATCTCCTCGTCGATCCAGAGATTTCCATCACGCTGCATTTTAATTTAGCCCAGAGTATATCCTACCACCTGAGAGCTGAGCATATTTGGTGTAGGATTTTGTGCTGACACCCAGGAAATGCCAGATGCTCTCTTGTGAACCAAAACCCTCTTTGTGTTAAGAGTTCAGATAATCAGGATTTATCTCTCCTGGCCCCAGCCACCCTGCCCAAGCACCTTCCCAGCCGGGCTGTCAGCCAAGCCACACATTCCCTTCCAAGCTCCCTAATTCCCATCTGCCCAGTGACCTTCACTGGGGCACTGGCCTCAGCCTCTTGGCAACCATTAGGAGTTTAAAGACATCAGGGATGCCATCTCCTCCCAGCTGGCATTTATAGGTAAATCAGCTGCTTCTTTGTGTGTACAGCTCTGCATCCTTTCCCTGCTGCCCTGCATTTCTCTTCTTTCAAGACAAGCTTAACCAGCCATGCAACACTGACAAAGGGTAAAAATCTGTGTGGATCTTCTCATCCTGCAGGGAAAGGGCTCTGCTGATACCAGGGGAGCTGCCGTGCCCACGTGGGGAGTGCCCATCCTGTGCTATGTGTGTGGCAGGGCAGAGATGGAGCTTCAGGCAGGAGGAGAAAGGTCTTCCAGCAGTTTTCTAACACCTTTCAAGGACATGCGAACTTCAGAAAGGTTGGATGGAGCAATGGCAATTTTACAAGTTCCTCTCTGCAGGAGGAGAGCTGGGGCTGTCTCCTCTGCAGGAGGAGAGTTAGGCTGGAGACCCAGCAGTCAGGAAAGATCCTACTGCTCTCAACAACTCCCTGAAATGTTGAAGCCAGGTGGGGTCAGCCTCTCCTCCAAGGTAACAAGTGATTAAAAAAGAGAAGACAGCCTCAAGCTGCATCATGGGAAGTTTAGATGGGATATCAGGGGAATATTTCTCCACCAAAAGAGTTGTCAAGCCCTGGCACAGGTTGCCCAGGGAAGCTGTGGCTGCCTCTGGATCCCTGGAAGTGTCCAAAGCCAGACTGGATGGGGCTTGGAGCAACCTAGGATAGGGGAAGGTGTCTCTGCCCATGGTAGGAACAACATGGTTTTCAAGTTCCCTTCCAACCCAAAGCATCCTGGGATTCTGTAACTCATATAAAGCAGCTCACCCGTGTGATGTTCTGCACTCGGAAGAGCCGGGACACGATGTCCTCATCTGCCACTCCTGAGATGTATTCCACCTCCATGGGGCCGTAGTGCTGCAGCCCTGGCTCGGGCCAGTACTGCAGGCAGGGCTGTGGAGAGAAGCACAGCTCATCAGGCTGGAAATGTGTGCTGGGACACAGGCAGGGGCAGCAGGAGACACCAGTGAAGGCAGGGCTGGTGCTGGACCCTGGGGGCTGCTGGCACGGGGTGGCCCCAGGGTGGGATGGTGGCCCCAGGGTGGAGTGCTGGACCACAATGCCATTTCTCACTCAGAACATTAATAGCTGGAGGATCTCCCAGCCTATTGAGGGATCAGAGACGAAAGGTCAGGTCCAGCCCCAGCATCCACACAGTCCCCTCACACTGCACAGACACAACAGCTGACACAGCCTGGAATGGACACTGCTGTTCCGGGAGGATGCAGGATGGGCTCTGCCCCAGTTCCAGCACAGACCTGAGCCTGCACAACAACAGAGCAGGGCTGGGCTGCTCCCAGCTGGCTCTCCAGCCCTGCTGCTTTTAGGAGCCACTCTGCCACCAGCAGTGACAGCACCATAGGATGTCAGTGCTCCTCATCCCATGGCCAGGACATCCCACTAAGCCAAAGCAATCCCAGCCTGCATCTCTGGGGAGCAACTCCCCTCCCTGTGTCCATCATGGCACTGATGGATGGCTCAGTCCCTGGAGCATGGGTGAGATTGTTTTCACAGTGTGACAGCTGGGAAACCAGCACCGACACAAAATTTACGATGTTTGTCACCACACTTTCACAGGGCATTTAGCAATGCAGGTCAGTCACGGCCTGGGCCCAACTGCACGGCAAACGTGTCTCAGGAATAATTGGTTATTAATAGGGGCTATAAATCTCTGAGATCTCTGAGCCTTCCAGACTCAGAACTATAATTTGGATATTAAAACTTCCCTTGGCAAGGCGTAGTTCAAGTGAGGGCTGTACCCTCAAAGTCACCTTTCAGAGCTGCCTGCTGGAAAGGTTGATTTATTACCTGTTGGTCTTATACCAGTAAACATTTATGATCCAGCTAAATATTGTAACCCAGACACCCCTGAAGAACAGACAGCGAGAGAGAGGCAGGGCAGAGTAATGAGGAAAAATGGCAGAGGGAAGGGAAGGGATTCTGTCCCTCTGCCCTGCTCAGGTGAGACCCCACCTGCAGAACTGCCCCCAGCTTGGGGAACATGGACCTGTTGGAGTAAATTCAACACCAATGGAACACCAACATCAACTCAAAGCCAAGGCAACATCAACACCAACACAAGACCAATGCAGCACCATCACCAATGCAACATCAACACCAATGGAACATCACTACCAATGCAACACCAATGCGACTTCAACACCAATGGAACGCCAATGCAACTTCAACACCAATGGAAAACCAATGCCAATTTAATGCCAACACCAACTCCGAGCCAATGCCAACTCTCAACAACAATGCAACATCAACATCAATGCAACACCAACTCAAAGCCAACCCTACACCAATGCCAACACTATGCCAACACAATGGTAGTGCAACACCATCACCATGCACCCAGGCTGGGCTACTGCTCAACACCTCTCTGGCTCCAACTGGCCAGCCCTGTGCTTACAGGGGACAAATCCTGAGTGCTGCATACAGACCCGTGTCCCCTTGCAAAGGAGGAATTTCTGAGGGAGCAAGGCAAGGGGCTGCAGCACTGCCAGGGCAATGGGGACAGAGCAGGACAAAGCCACCCATGGTGCAGTGCCAGGGCAGCAGCACTCACCCAGGCAGAGTTGGACTGGTTGAGCTGGTTGAGCATGACGATGGAGGTGCAGCCATAGTCGTACACCAGCCGCCAGAAGTCGGTGGTGGTGTTCTGCAGCGGGTGCAGGGTGACAATGAAGGCAGCGCTCTTGGTGTAGCTCTGTGGAGAGGAGAGACAAGCACCAGTAAGGACAGTGTCACGGTGGTGACACTGGAGCCACTGCTGTCACACCCCAAAGAATCAGTGCAGCAGATGAGTGGGACCAAAACCCTCTTCTCCATGCCTGAGCAGAGCTGGTCTCCCTGGCACAGCCTCAGTTCCTCCATGTCCTGGTGATGGGGACATCCAAGTGATCCCTGCCCTTGGTCAGGATGAAAACACACACATTTTGCTTTCACAGGAAAGAGTATTTTGCATAAATAACTAGGGAAAAGATGCCACCTTTGAGCAAAGAACAAGCAGTAGCTGTGACTCCAGCTGTGCACCTGGCCCTGACTGGAAGTATAACCCACAGCATCACCCCCACTCACAGCACTCATAGCACCCCACCACCAGGCACTGAGAGCAGCAGAGACAACCACTGACCTGGGCTCAATTTTTTTTTTTTTTGTGGGGGGGAAAAAAGCCCCCCAAAAAAAGATTCCAGAGTGTGGCCACAGCTCTCTTCACAGAGAGTAGCAGGAAAACTTTCCCAGGAAGAATCCCGGGGAAGGCAGTAAGAAAGCACAAAGAAAGAGAAAGACAATTCTTATCTCTATTTGTTGCACCTGTTGTTTGGCACATGTGGAAAGTGTTATGGAGATTGTTTACTGAAGAGGGATTTCTTAATTAGACACTAGTGATGGGTGGTTTAGATTGATTGAATTGATGGTGATTTAGATTGAATTAGGTCAAAGCTGTGTCATGACTGTCTGAAAGGGTCACAGGTTTTTCTTTTAGTACTGTAGTATAGTAGTAGTATAGTATAACATAGCTCAATAAAGTATTTGTTCAGCATTCTGAAATCATAAAGTCAATGCACTGCATTGGGGGCTCCCTGCAACAATACTAGAGATTGCAAGAAGGAAGTGGGTGGGAAGGAAATTACTGCATCTCTGATTTGTGCTTTGAACAAGATACATCCCCTTGGTGATCCTGCGGCTGCTTTGCCAAGGGACAGCTGAGCTCAACAGTGCATCAGGCACACCTAAATTAACTCAGTTTGGCTCAAGCCTCTTCAGACCCAGAATCAGCTCAGCTCTGTGCTCATGGGGGTGCTCTGCCTGCTGTGGGACCTCCTGACTGAGCTCACAGAAATGACCTTATTGAACCATTCCTATGGCCCTGTCCATGGGCAGCAGCGAGACCCAGCACTCAGCAAGAGCTTTCCACCTTCAAGGAGGGGCATTAGAGCAGCAAGGGGAAAGAGATTTCACCATGTGTTGCCCAGGCTTGCCTTGGCATCCTCCTCTTGGCACAGGTGTAAGTGACAGCAGGGTGTGGAGCAGGGCACGGCTCCACTGGCACCAGCACCACTGACAGGTGGCACAGGCCAAGCTGATCTGACAGATGGACACACTGACTGAGCAAACCACTTTGGCACTTAAAGAGAATCAGACTTTTTTTTTTTACCCAAAGAGGGAAATAGGTTTTATCCCTTCAGCAAGAGTTTCATCCAAAGGGCTTTGTCTGTCTATAAAAAATATTTCATTCACTGACCCTTTAGTAGAGATTAAGGGAGGCTCAGTGATGCATAAAGATAAAATGGGAATGCAAACAGCAAGCAAGCTGGAAACAAAACTCCCATCCCACTGCAGCACTATGAGAGCCACTCCCCACCAGCAGCAGCTCACTCTGCTTTACAAACTGCTTTTGCTGTGGGAGCAGGAATCAGGGAGATGGGATCTGCACAGAGATCCAGCAGGATAATCACCCACAGCATAGCAAACATAATGTTCAGCTTGGTGCCAGTGCTCAGCTGTGACCAGGAGGGTCTGGGGAAGACGCCTGAGGTGTGGGGGGCTCTGTGCTGCCCATGCAAAGCATTTCAAGGAAAGGGAAGTGGGGCTGCTGATGAATGACCCCATCCCTCGGTGAGGGCTTGGAGCCTGCAGCATCCTCTGCTCTGCTCTGTGACCATCAGATACAGGGGATAGCTTTGTCACCACAGGGTCCTTTCTGACTGCATCAGGGGGATGCATGGTGGCTCTGGGAGCAGTTCAGAACCCCCTCAGTTGCATCAGAAGGGGCAAGAGGATCACGGGGGGGCCTGACAGCACATGGGGGGCATAATGCCACCAACCCCCCCAAAAGGTTCCTCTTCCTCCCCTGCTCCAGTGTCACTGCAAAATCCTCAAGTCCCTCTGTGCCTGGCTCATGAGAGCAGGAGAAAAGCTCTTGCAGGGTGCTGCTACACAAAAGAAGGGGTGCAGGACCCCCTTGCACCATCCCAGCCCTTCCCTCCCTGCACACAGCTGCCGTGACCCTTCCCGCCCATGTGCAAAATGAGGCCATAAATCCAAACCAAACGAAGTTCTGCCATGAAAAGCTGCCTGAGCCCACAGGAAGCAGCCCCTTCCCTCCCCAGGGAGCACTCACGTCAGTTAAGGCCGCGTTGATGTAGTTGTTGCTGTCTCCATCCACGGAGATGAGGAAGGGAAGGCATCGGTCGGGCGGCAGCACGTCCATGCTGCGGTTGCGCTCGCGGTTGCGGGGCAGCAGCGCGATGCTGCACTCCTCCACGTCCAGGTGCGGTGTCACCGAGTTCAGGGTCTGCGGGCACACGGGTCCCCTCAAAGCCCTGCCTCGTGCCAGCAGGGCTGGGCACCGGGAGGGGGAGGACAGGGGGGAGTTGCAGAGGTTTTGGGAGCTCACCTGGAACTCCTCCCGCAGCTGCGAGGAATTGCTCTGCGGCTCTATCCTCACCATCTCCTTGTAGGTGGGCTTGAACTCGCTGGCAGGGATGCTGGTCTCCCCACACAGACAGGCCTCCAGGATGGCATCGTGGATGAAGATGTACTGCTCCTTTGGGGAGGAGAGGGGACAGGGCTGAGCCTCCAGAGCTGGCTGGTGACAGCGGCTGTCCCCAGGTGTCCCCAGCTGTCCCTGAGGCCGCTCACCTCTGTCTGGATCATGTTGATCCTCCGTGAGCAGAGGGTCTTCACGCAGTTGTAGATGTCCACGACGCCCTCGCACTCAGCCATGTCCAACATCACATCCAGCACGATGTAACAGCCAGTCCTGCCCGTGCCAGCACTGGGGATGGAGGGAGAAACGGCAAACACATTCCCAGTCTGTGCTGGCATCCACACACAGCCTGAAAGGCTGCTGGGCACCCAGCAAGGCCTCTGTGGGCAAGGGCTCAACACACAGATCCTGTACCAGGCAACCCCACAGGGCTGCCAGGACCTCACACGCCTCCAGAGCCTGGTTTAGCCTTTAACCTGCCCAAACACCCCTGCTGCAGCCCCAAGAGTGCGTGAAGGTCAGGTGGGCATCCATGTCTAAAGCTCATTTTTCATTTAAGGCAGCAGAACACATGGGTTTTGCAACAAAACCAACAACTAAACCATCTAAGTGCCAACAAGTCCCCTGGGATCGCAGCCCAAAAGCACCAAGGAGGGTTCAGCTCTGAGCCCTGGGAGAAGCAGGGAGGTTCCCCTGACATGAGCAGCTCTGGATGCACCAGGTGAGACCTTCAGGGTAAGGCTAAGGCCCGCAGGGTACCCAGAGCAGTGGTGATGTCCCAGGCCCTGGCATGGCTGGAGTCACAGTCAAAGACCTACTGTGCCCTGACACAGCCCTCCAGTGATGTGCCAGGAATGGAGCCACCCCCCTGTTCCTCTCCTACAGAGTCTTTTCCAGTGAAATACTAATTTCTGGGGCTGATGAATCACTCGTCATGATTATCAGTGATTACAGGCTACGGGCACTAATCACACCGGCTGGTGAATGAACGCTGATGAGGCAGTTGACAGGGAGAAATCAAATAAAAAATAAAAAAATCCCTCCCACTCATCAGCTCCTCCTGGTTTGCCCAGAGGAGGAAAAGCCATTAGCCCATCATGTGGGAATGCCTGCTCAGGGCACAGAGAGCCACCAAAGCTGCTCAGATGTGTCACTCGTGTCCTCCCAGCTCTGGCATCCCAGTGGCTGAGCCCTGCAGGGACAGCCCTGTGGGTAACCCTGGAACGGGGCTGTCCTGCTGCCTCCTGCCTCTCCCTTCAGCCAGACCCCCCGTCCTGCCCATCAGCAGTGGCCAAGCTGCCCATTGCCGTTTCACCTTTGCCCACTGGGACAGAGCTGTCACCAGTAACAGGCTGGAGGAGCCCCAAAACAGTGCTGCTCCCTGCTTGTCCCCCTGCACCAGCCCCTGCTGCCACCAGCCCATTGGTGACATTTCACAGATGCCATCGCAGAGGGACATCAAGGCCAGGCCGGACAGGGCTTGGAGGAATCTGGACTAGTGGAAGGTGTCCCAGTCGTGGTGGGGGAATGAGCTTTCAGGTCCCCTCCACCCCCCTGCCACCCGTGCCTGTCCCCACCTGCAGTGGATGACGACGGGGCCGGCGTCGGGCGGCGTGGACGCCTTCACCCTACGGATGAAGGCCAGCAGCCCTGTGGCGTGGTAGGGGACACCGTGCTCGGGCCACGACATGAAGTGGAACTGCTTCACCTCGTGCCGGGCCGAGTAACCCCGCTGCAAGGGAAGAGTGAGAGGGCAAGGTCACTCAAACACTTGATTTCCTCAGGAATCCATGATTTCGCCAGCTCAGGATCCAGGCAGATGGACCCACAGCAGTCACATGCTTGGGCAGCCCCACAGCTCTCTCCTCTTGGCTCCAAGAGGGTTAAAAACCACCAAGGAGAAAAAGGAGGAGGTGGCAGCAGCCTCAGGTGTCCCTGTCCTATAACCAGACAGTAATTTGACGTTGCTGTAGATTAATGGGTAAATTGCACCGGTTCCATCTCCAGTTACCATGCTGCAGACTGATGGCTACATCACCTCCAGCCCAGAGGAGAGGAACACATCCTTCACCCCCACCACACTCACACAAAAATTAAACACTCACTCACTGTCCAAACAAAGGTGGGACTGAGCTGCTCGCCCGGCACAGGGTGCAGAGCCAGGGAAAAGGCAAAGGAAGGAGCGACTGCTGACCCCATATTGGGTTAAATAAACAGGATACTGGTAAATGCCAAGCTATGGAGTGTGAGAGGTGCCCGAGGGTCTGTCCCCGAGGAGGGCAGGCAGGGCAGGGCCATACCCTCTCCAGGGCGAAGGTGCGCACAGCGTACTCAGCCAGCGTCTCCGACTCCACCAGCGTGATCTTGATGTCCCCGTACATCTCGGAGTCATCCGGCCAGTACTTGGAGCATTTCACCTGCAAGGAGAGCACGGGATGGGGGCTAGGCTCTGCAGAGGTGGCTTCCAGCAGGGATGGCATGGCATGGCATGGCATGGGAACAGGGATGCTTACCCGGCCCACCTCCACCAGCTTGGTGATCATCACGATGCTGGAGCAGTGCTCCTGCCACACCATGCGCCAGAAGTCGTACACCATCTCCTGCTTGGGCCCTGGGGGACACAGTAAAAGGCCCCACGGATGGACGGACACCACCAGCAGAACCCAGGCCTGGTAGCGGCCCAATCCTCCCTCCTGCCTCTGAGGCACAAACAGCTCCACAGCACCTCAGAGCCCTTTTCCCCAGGGCTGTGCGGTGCCAAGGGGAGGCAGGAGGGGTGGGAGCAGCTCCACATTGGCCCCCTCACTTCCTTTCCTGCTCCTGTAAGGTTTAATTCCACCAGGAATAAAACCTGGCTGCTACACAGGAGGTGAGGAACTACTGGCTGAGAGGGCAGGGCATGACTCACCTTGTGTGGCTATGAAGTGGTTGGACCTGTGGTAGCCCTGCAAGGGAAGCAGAGACATCATTCCCAAGCTGGGGCACAGACCCTTAGACACTTCCCAGCCACCCAACTGGTAGAAATTCCCCACAGCCACTGGGCTAGGTCCTGCAAGTCCACCACAGAAGGACGAGGAGGTTAAGCAGCCATCCCACACTCAGCACACCCTGTCCTGGGATGGTGCATCTCCTGCATCCCACAAGAGGTTCATGTAATGCCCAACCCACAGCCCTGCTCTGCAAAATCCTTTATCAGCACCTTGAGGGATCCATGAGCTCCACTCCAGCTCCTGCTGCCAGGAGAGCTCCATTAGTGATCCCCCCATTGCACAGCAGCCACTTGGTGCTGAGACAGCCCCACTCCCTTCCTTCATCCCAGCTGCTCAGCCCTAAACAAGAACATGCCAAAGAGCACATTCCAGCCAGGCCACTGCCAGAGGGACTGTGAACACAATGTCCCACACCCTGGCCACAGGTCCAGCAGAGTTAAACCACACCACACGCATGGAGGTGACAGTGGCTTCTCCATCCCCTGTGGGTCTTTTCACAGGGGACTTCTGTTGGTCAAATTCAACCCTTTCTCAGAGCACACAGGCCCTGCTTTCCATGCCCCAGTGCCACACAGACCTTGCTTTCCCATTCCCTGGACATTCCCAGGTTTATGGACACATCTTCCCAGCCTGCCTCTCCCTGATGGTATTTAGACCACACTGCCCAGGGTGAGGCCTGGCAGGAGATGGAAGCAGAGAAGGGAGGAGAGAGGGAAGAATCTACTTACTTCTCGGTTAATCCGAATCTTAACGATCCCATTGGGACACAGGTTTGAGAGAAAAAGATCAGAGATATTAGTGAGGCACAGAGCAGAGAGGGGTTAGAGCACCTGCCCTGGAGCAGGCCATGGAGAGACAGGGCAGAAAGGACACAGGGAACAGGGACAGGCTGAGGGACACTGCTTGGGCACTGGGATCAGGCCACACTGATGGACAACACCCTCTGGGCAGGAGGGAAAAGTGGAATTTGCTGCTGCTTCCAGGAGATGCTGGAGCCTTCCTGCAGCTGCTCTGGTCTCAGCATCACTGGAGGTGGCAGGGGACATCGCTCTTGGGGGACACTGCTCTCAGAGGACACTAGGGCTGGGCTCTACCCAGATTCACACACACCAGCAGGATCAAGGGGTGCTCCAGTGTGAGCCCCTGATGGTCCCTTGTTCCTCTCAACCTCTGCATCCCCCACCCAGGGAGAGGGAGATCCACGGCCACATGAGCAGGTGAGGGGGAAGAGGATAGAAAAGCAGAGAGGGAATGAGAAGGAGGAACAGAGCAGAGCAGAGAGAGATGCAACACGCAGAAACAGCTGATGAACACAAATAAATCAGGCAGGTCCTTCATGATGTACTGAACTGCCCACCCTGGGCTGCCCAAAGTCCTCCAAATGCTGCTGGACAAACCCTGAGAGGCCACAGGAAGCTCATTTGCAGCCCAGAGCCGCAGGGACACAGGCCCTGTCCCCACTTACATCGATGTAGTTGGCATTGATGTAGTCGGAGTTGGGGTCCCCCAGCAGCGGGTGCAGCTTCACGCGGTGACGGTCATCTGGGGAAAGGGGACAGGAACCATCAGCGCCTGCTCACCCACCAGGCCACCCTGGGCAATCACTCTGGCCCAGGAATCTGCAGAACGTGGGGTTCTGAAGCTGCTTGGGGTGTCTAAGCCTTTGCTAAGGGCACTCACATGTGGACACATGATCCTGTCTCCCTTTGGTCTTGTCTTTCTTCTTTGAAGCATCCCAGCCTTCAAAGAAACTCTGTAAGGAAAGGATGGACATCTCAAGCTCAGGGCAGGACTCTGGGGTTCCCCCAGCCCCAAAAGCTCCCTGGGGAGCAGGAGAGACAGGGTGGTCCCTCCACCCCAACACCTGGTCCGGGCAGCCTCATCTCCACCTCCACAGCACACTCTGCCAGCTACACACTCCTGTTACATCCACAAAACAGCCCATTTTCCAGAAAATTACAGACTGCCTGGCTTGTTTTTTTTTACTAGGGTTGGTTGTAGTTTTTTTTATTCCTAAACCTCCCCAGCTCCTTTCTCTCCCCAGCACAGAACAGGTTTGTGTGTAATAACAGTGACATTCATAGATTGGCGTAAGAGGTGGAAAGTGGAAGGAAATTACATGTTTTCTCCCCTCCCATAATATCTGAGTGCTTTCAAATGACTAGTTCCAAGAACATACAGCAGCTTTTCAAGGAGCACTAATGATTATCGCAAGCCCTGGTTTGTCCAATGCGTGAAAGCGGGGGGAGAGCTCCTGCTCCTGAAACAGCTGAGCATTAAACAGTAATTTCACTGGGAAATTTCAATCTCCAGACCTGTGGGACACTGAGGAGACAGGAAATGACCCCGCTGGCTGTGCTGAGGCAGAGACTTGTGAAATAACCTGCTCTGTTACAAGTGCTCTGACCTGGCCAGCTGGGATGGACATGATGCCACCAACAACTCTTGGGAAAGAAATCCCTTCCCCTGACATCACCCTCCACAGCATCTTCTCCCCAGTGTCCTTCTCCATGGTCTTGGAGCTGCCAGATTGTAGAGGATTTGCTTGTTCTTAGACTACGGCCATGCTTATCACAGGCCAAGTGTGCTGGAGAGCAGAAGGTGACACAGTGATGCCCAGGGAAAGGAAAGGGAAAGGAAGGAGCAGCCCTGGCCTACGCAGGAGAGCTGGGATGGTGCACTGCACACAGGGCTGGTTTGGCTCATCTCAGGGACCTGCTCAAGCTGAGAAATAACCCAGAGCTGCCAGCACCAGCCATTCAATCCTGCCGCAGGGACAGCCCCCATGCTGACAATGCCAGCCCAGAGCTGTGAGCTCCAGCTCCCATCCAGAGCTCCAGACCCGGAGCATCGTCTCCTCGCACACAGATCCCACCCGTGTCCCCCCGTCCATCCCACCCCCCGCTCCCCTGAGGCGCTGCCACAAGCTGTCCCCACCTCATACTCCTGCTTGAAGCCGTAGCCCTCGGCGGTTTTCATCTGGTTGATGTGCTGCAGGAGGTCGGCCACGCGCACGGCCGGGTGCAGCTGCCCCGTGTGGTACGGGGAGCCCTTGCGGCCGCACTGCCGCCGCGGGGAGCCCCCCAGCAGGCTGCTGGACTCGTTCACCACGCTGCTGCGCTGGTCACCTGCACGGGGAGGGACAGCCGGGGGCTAGCAGGGCAGCAAAACCCTGGGCTGCAGCCCCATCACCTCCTCACGGCCACAGAGGCTGGGGGAGACACACTGGGAGATGCGGCTGCTGCAGGCCCTCTCAAGGGACCGCTCGGGCCCGGCCCGCAACCCCGCTCCCACCCCCTGATGCTCTCTACAGCTCCTCCTACACCACAAAGCCAAAAATGCCCAGCACAGCCTTTTAGGACCTCAGCAGGTCAATCAGAAATCAGTGGGCAAGGCCATAAGGGGATAATAACCTCATTTCCCCTCAGCTGGAACAATGAGCTCCCATGCAGACAAGCAAGAGCTCCATGCCCAAATATTCACACAAGATTCTAAGTTGAAAAACCACCTTGCCAAAGTCTCCAGCACAGCTTAACAGTTCATTTCCCTCACTGCTAGAGACCAGCACTGGATACCTCATGTTGCCACAAATGGAGCTTGCTGCTTTGATGGAGAGCCTGTGCAGTATTTACCTGGTTTATGCCTTTGCTGTGTCATTACCAGCAGAGCCAGGCTAAGACCTCACGTGTATTTGTCAAGGCAAGTTCCCACACAAGATCCCAAAATTTGGGTTTGCACAAAACCCGATGCTCTGAGCTACTCCCAGAGAAGGGCAGGCAGGGATCCAGGGAATGGTTTGGTTGGAAGGGACCTTAAAGCCCATCCAGTGCCACCCCTGCTGTGGGCAGGGACACCTTCCACTGTCCCAGGGTGCTCCAAGCCCTGTCCAGCCTGGCCTTGGGCACTGCCAGGGATCCAGGGGCAGCCCCAGCTGCTCTGGGCACCCTGTGCCAGGGCCTGCCCACCCTCACAGGGAAAAATTCCTTCCCAATATCCCATCCAACCCTGCCCTCTGGCAGTGGGAACCAACAGGACAACCCAGGAGAGCGCCTCCACACCCCATGACCTGACCAATGGGCTCATCAGCTGCTGGGATTAAAGAGGAATTAATTAATTGCTGGCATTTGCAAGGTGCTGCCACAGCCACACGCTGAGGAACCACTGGGGTTTCCATGAGAATCAGTGACTTTCTTTTAAATGCACAGAAACTGAAGTGGGTGGGGGGTACAGCAGTCACCAAGTCATTAATTTCCCTTCCTTAATTAAAGATGTTCACAGGCAATGGAGACTCTCCCAGCCATGGCAGGCAGCCCGAGCTCCCCAGCTCAGCCCCACCAGCCTTTGAGAGTTTCAAGGACAGTGAGCAAAGGGAAAACACACCCAACCTAGCTCGATGTGTAAAGAGGAGGAAAGTTTGCCCTCTGGGCTTTAATGATCCATGAGACAGTGGCAGGAGGGCATCAATCCCGCGTGCAGGCGGCATCTTGCAGCTACTGTAACAGATGTTATTAGCATATGGCTGAAACTGGGGCAGCCAGAGAGTTATTTTACAACTAAATCAGCATGGAGACACATCCTCCGGTGGGTGTGAAGTTATCAGTCTCCCTCTGATAGGAGAGCAGGGGCTTGTTAACCCTTCAATGCCCCGGCTGTGTGGGGAAGGCTGGGGGGAAGCTTCTAACCTCAGCATAAACCAGGAGGTGGGATTCACCCAGTTCCAGGGGGCTGCAGCCAGATCCTGAAACCACAAATGGCCTCAACTGGCCCAGCCACAAGCTCAGATCTCCATGAGAAAACAGAGATCCAGCTCCCCACAAGAACTTCCCCTTCAGCACAGCCTGGATGGTGGCAGAAGTTCCAACACAGATGAAATGCATGACCTTGGAGATTTACACAGGGCAAGGAAGAACCTGCTATGCCACACACAGTCCAAAACAGATGTAACACCAAGCCTTCAAGAGAATCACAGAATATCCTGAGTTGAAAGGGACCCACAGAGACCCCTGAGTCCAACTCCTGGCCCTGCACAGACACTCCAACAACCTCACCCCCCTGTGCCTAAGAGTGTGGTCCGAACACTCCTTGAGCTCTGGCAGGCTGTTTCTGTGATATTTTGGGGTTATTGGGCACCTTTGTGGCTGGAAGGAAGCAGGGGGATGCCAGGGTCCCCATCCTTACCTTGCTTGCCACAGCTGTGGGGGGGGGATGCCGGCTACCAACCTCACCTCTGTTTCCAGAGTTGTGGAGGGAGAACAGGCGATGCCAGGCTCTCAGGCTCACCTCTGTTCCAGAGTTGTGGAAGGAGCACAGGAGATCCCAGGCTCCCAGGCTCACCTCTGTTCCCGTAGCCCTGGGTGTCCATGAAGGACAGCCCCAGGCGCTCATCCTCCTGCAGGGTGCTCTGGTCAGTGAAGCTCCTGTCGATGGCACTCATCATGTGTGTCTTCTCGTGCCGGTAGTTTATGGTGGCCTTGGTCATATTCACAGGTTTCCTGCGGTGGGGAGGAGCAGAAGTGAGCAGGACTCACCATCAGGCACTCGAAGGTCCCCTCAAAGCTCGGATTATTCCAGGAGCAGGATGGATTATTTGCAGCAGCGTGGCCATCACGCTTCGGTTCTCTGCTGTCCCCAACCAGTCACAGCCACACATGCAGCATCCCTCGCTGGCTGCAGCAACTGCAGCTGCTCAACCTCAATGTCCCCTCCTGCCCCCTGCCCTTGGACAGCCAGGTGTGCTCCTTGTGCAGTCAAATGCTCTCTCCAGCCATCACATGGACATGCCCCAGCTCCCCAGGCACGACTCCCTGGTCTAGTGGAAGGTGTCCCTGCCCATGGCAAGGGTTGAAATGAGATGAGCTTTAAGCCCCTTCCAAGTCAAATCATTCTGTGATTTTAAAGCCATGTCAGGGGCCAAATCCATCCCAAGGGATGGGCTGGATCCCCCCTGAGTAAACCTGCGCTCAGCACCCACTGCAGAGGCTTTTTCCCCCACGCAGGGTCTCTTTAGGCACCTAATGAAAATGCTGGGAAATCCCAGGAGTTCTCACTGGGACAGAACCTCCCACCCCAAATTCAAGTCATTTAAAGAAACCTGAATGAACGTTTTTGAGAGGCAGCATCAGGCTCCAAAGCCAGAGCAGCGATTAAGCCAGAAGGATGAACAGGAGATCTGAGCCCATGTCAGCATTGTGATGGGGCTGAACACTGCAAGGCACTGCTAAAATCCAGAATTCAACTCAGAGTACCTGACCCTTCCCCTTTACACTGCCTTCTGTCTCTAACAAGCTCGGCAGCATTATTTTCCCTGATCCAAAGAGACCTTTAAAATGCACTTGGCAAAGATAAGGACTGGTTGGAGCAGCAGGGTGAGGGGGGCGGCCAGGAGGAGGGTAAAGCAGGAGAATGACAATTACTTACGGGTAATAGGAGTAAGAATAGTAGTTCCTCCTGGCAAGCGAGCAAAGAGAACAGCAGAAATTGCATAAGCAGCTTTTCTCCACTATTGGGAAGGGAGGTTACAGGGCAAGTCAGCTGCCAGAAAATTCAATGCACCATAAAGGAATCAGGCTCCCCTGTGGCACCCACAGGTTATTTACTCCAGGCAGGAGCTGGCATCCTGGCAGGAGAGCACAAGCACCGGCTCTCAGCGGGACCACACTTGTGGTGGGTGTCCACAGCACCCTTGTCCAAGGGGCTCACCCATAATTTTTAAGAAGGTTGTGTCAGATGTCCCAAATGTAGGGATTTCCCCCAGGCTGTTGGTTAGGGGCCCAGAGGGGGAGATGGCCTTGGCATGTCACATTCCCAGTGCACCATTTACTAGAGACAAACATATTCCAAGGCTGCATTTCCATTCCAGCACATCAGTGTTTCTCCAACAGCAAAGCACTGTGGAGATTTATGAGCTCATCCCAGCTTCCCAACAGCCCCAAATTCAGGCTTCTCAGCACCAGATCTAATTTGTGGCTCTAGTTTATCCTTCAACAGGTTCATCCTGGGATGCTGAAGCAGAGCTGCTCCTCCTCATCCTGCCTGGCAGCACTGGCAATGGGAATGCAGCAGCCACACTCACAGCTTCCCTCCCACAGCATCACTCCCCAAAACACATCAGCGCTGCTGGCATCTGCTCCATCAGGGAAGGAGCCAACCAAGCTGTGAGCCAGCCCCACACCTCAAAGCATGCAGGGATGCCACAGCCCTGCTCTTCCAGCAACGTAAATCCACAAGGATCCTTCCAGGGTACACGCAGCCATAAAGAGCTTTGCAGATTTAAGGGGCCGAGGCTCTGCCCTGCTGTTTTTCTCTCCCTCTGGCTGTTCACGTACTTTGCTCCATCCTCCCAAGCCCCGTGTTTAATTGCTGTCCTTTATCCCAGCTCTGAGAGCCCCCCCGGCCCAGTGCTGCCTCGAGCCCTGCACAGAGGCAGCCACTTTTCCACTTTTCCCCTTTTCCAGGGCGTTGCAGCCACGTGCACAGCAGCGGCCGCCTGCCCAGCGCTCCCGGGGATGCGTGTCCCCAAAAGCCCTCGCCCTCCTCCCTCCCACCCCATGAGCTCCCCTGTGCCAGCCCCCCACAGCGGCCACATCCATGCTGGACGTGCTCCTGCTGGCCTGGCCAAGGCAGCAGGGAAGCCCAGAGGCAACATCTCATCTCAACAACATCCCATGGCTGCTGTTGGCAGGGAAGAGCTGGTGGGATGGGGACAGCTGGGCTCAGCACCGGGGCAGGGCTCAGGCACGGGCCAGAAGCATTTCCATCCATGCAGGATCACAGAACAGCACAAAGCCAAGAACCAGCAGGAAAAGAAGCAAAAACCCAAAAAATATGGGGGAGAGGGACAGTGGAACAAAGCTGCAGAGGGAGTAGGGACATCCCCAGGACTTTGCTGCTCTGTGCCCAGTGAGATGCACAGGCACATGGAGACTCAGCTCAAGGGAGTGTCTGGAGGCTGCCCAGAGCAGCTGGATCCTCACCAGTAACTCCAGTTAGTGCTGGGGTGGTGGAGAAGAGCTGAGCAGGGAGGGAGGGAGGGACAAATAAAGCACCAGCTGCCAGCCCAGGTCTCCTTACCCTTTCCTTATGGCGACGATGATGGCTCCCAGCAGGATAATCAGGATGATGAGCCCTCCAGCACAGATCCCCAGGATCAGGCCCATCTCCTCCGAGTGCTGGGACACCTCCAGGGGACGCTTGCTCTCTTTGCAGGCAGCTGCCAGGGGACAGGGACAGGCGGGAGGGGTGGGTGGATGAGGGTGCTGTGAGCACCCACCACATTCCACTCCAGGGGGACTGGCATCATCAGGCATGAAAACATGAGATTTGTCCATGGGATGCTTGTTTCTCCATGAACACAAGTTATTCAACCAAGATGCTACAGGGCTCTGCAGTGCCACACTATGACCATGGACAAGTCCCTCTCTCAGTTCCAGTGGGGTGGGACACTCCCTTTGTGCACCTTTCATCACATCCCACGTAAGATCATCCATCCCTGGATTCAGCATCCAGCACCACCATTCCAGCCCCACCTCCACCATGGTAACAGCATTACGAAGGAAAATTCAACCAAGGGAAAAACCTCAGATGCCAAAGAGAGTGGGAAACAGAAGGGTGTGGGGTGGAGCTGGAACAACCCATCACATGCAACCCAACCACCACCAGGGCTGGTCCCAGCCCACGGCAGAGCCCTGACCACTGGAGCAGCCACGGGGCCAGAGCCGCCATGGGGCCGGAGCCGCCGTGGGGCCAGAGCAGCCACGGGGCCACAGCTGCTGTGGGGCTGGGGCCGCCGTGGGGCCAGAGCCACCGTGGGGCCGGGACCGCCGTGGGGCCGGAGCCGCCATGGGGCTGGAGCCGCCGTGGGGCCGGAGCCACCGTGGGGCCAGAGTCGCCTTGGGGCCAGAGCAGCCACGGGGCCGGGGCAGCCATGGGGTTGGAGCCGCCGTGGGGCCGGGGCCGCCGTGGGGCCGGAGCCGCAGCCTCGGGGGGTCAGGGCAAAGGGACGGCTCACCTTTGCGAGCGATCCGGACACAGTTCAGCCGAGTTTCCTATAGAGGTAAAAAGGGGGGGTCAGTGCTGGATGATCTTCCCAGCAGCTCCGCTCCCCACTCTCACCCAAGCGAGGCCGGGTGGGCACAGGGCTGGTCCATTGGTGCCTTGGCTCCCAAATTGAGGGAGTCCATGGGTGATTTGTGCTGCAGCACCCAAAGAGCTCCTGGGAACTCACAGCCCAAGAGATGCTGCTGAATGATCTGTCCCCAGCATTCCCAGGTTTAGCTGGAGCCACAGCTCCTGGCACAGAGGGGATGGTGAAGCTCAAAAGCATGGAGAACCCAGCAGACGCAGCCAAGCCACAAGTCACCGATGTGCCACCAGCTACAGCTGAAACATGCCCAGGTCATTCAGAGCTTCATGGGCTTGTCTTCCATCAGTCAAAGTTTCAAACTCCAGATCTGCATCTGCTGCCTAGGTTGCCATGAGGTTCCAGCTTAAGTCTCCAATAGTTTTAGCATTTGCAATTTAGGGATGAGTTCAGCTAAAATATTCCATTTTTCCATGCATCCAACTTCTGTTGCAAAATAAAAAGCACCACGTTGGCAGTATTGTCTTCTCCAAGCATCCTCCAGCCTCTCAAGACACCAGGCACCAATGTGCTCCATCCACTTTCGGCCCAAGACCTGCCCATGCCGCATGCCCAGGGCAGGGCCAGCTACAGCACTGCTCTCCTTGGGATCTCCAGCTTTTCCTTCTCCTGCTCCTTGCTTCATCTGGCACAAAACCCATGGAAAACCCCAGCTACAATCCAGCGTTCTTCCAACATCTGATGGCCACTGGGATAAATCCAGCACCTCCCAGCAGGAAAGATGTAACGCAGCATCAGTCACCAGCAATCATCCAGCAGTGCCGAGGGCGCCAGAGCCACAACCCTCCCTGTCCCTCTCAGCTCCAATTACAACGAACCAGTGAGGTGTGAACGATCCGGAGCAAAGAAAAGCACTCAGTAACCACTTTCCAGCAGGACAGAGATGTGCAGGATGAGGATGCTCCCGCGGGTCTGACAGGAGCTGCTGGAGCAGCTGATGCTGAGAACAGTCCCCACAGGGTCTCAGTGGTCCAGCCGGTGACATGCAGGAATCAGCCCGGGGGGTGCAGGGGTGCAGCCCCACAGAGGGAACTGGCAGCAGCAGAGAGGGAAGGGCAGCCCGGGAGCTCCAGGAGCTCTCTGGAGCTGGGACTGGCTGTCCTGCCAGCGCTGGGTCCCAGCAGTGACACACAGCTCTGGCTGCCCAGAGTCCTTCTCCAAACCAGGAGCAGCCCCAGGAATAGGGGCTCCCCTGCACTGGTGCTTGTTGGTGTCCTGGCTGGTACTGCAGTGGGTGGGGGAAATCAGACTACTCCACCCCAGCATTGGCATGGGGATGGGGACAGGCACCACCAGGGGTGCTGGAGCAGGACACCCACCCATCATCTCAACATGCCATAAGGGTGGCCTGGAGCACCAGCTGCCCTGGCAGGACATCAGTGGTAAACCCAGAGGTGATCTGGCGGAGGGCAGTCTAAAAGTAGTCCCATTTTTACCAACCCCCAGACCCCAGCCTGCCCTTACCTGGTCCAGCCCCTGGCTGGAGCAGGGTGCCAGGGCTACTCACCCCTTTGAGGTTGCTCATGGCCTGGAAGTAGATGAGATAGGCCTTCTTGGGCTCCAGGGGCGGGTTCCAGTAGCCACTGTAGGTCTGGTTGTCCCCCACGGTGAAGGGCTTGGCCTCGGTGAGGCTGCTGGCGGGCAGCTCTGCTCCGAAGTAGTGCACGGAGCCGCGGGACACGGCATCGTCGAAGGTGAGCGGCACCGGGAAGCACTCCTGCCCCCCCAGCTCCCGCTTCAGCTTCCTGGGCCGCTCCTCCTCCACAATGACCTGATAGGTGCTGTGAGGGCAGGCATGGGTTAGTTCTGGGAACAACAATCCTGCCCCATCCCTGGACCCTGCTGTATCACCCCATTTTGGGGTCTCACCCTCCTGCAGCCCCGACCTACCTGATGGGAGCCCCTCTGCCCTGTGCCGGCCGCAGCAGCACCGTGATGGTGCTCTCTGACTCGCTCAGCGGTGATGGCATGTCCCCATAGTCGAAGGTGGGAGCTGCAACAGGAGCTGGGGTGAGTCCTGGGGCTCCCCTGGCTTAGGGGGAAACTGAGGCATGAGCAGTTTTGCCCAGGGCAAGGCATCACCCAGTGGTGTCATATGAATTATTGCAACTAAAGTAAAAAACCTCTCCATGTCTTGAACAAGAGTTGAGAGGTGACCCCTGGGTGTGCACAAGGGAGGTTACCAACACCAGTCTAGCAGAGGGGAAGAAACCAAGAATGGGATCCAACCTCAGCAAGACCCAAATGCTCCAGTCTTGAGATGTGCTCAAGAACAGCACCACTCAGAATCACTGGCACAGTGTGAGCTTCCCCCACCCCATGGCAGAAGCACACCTGAGCCAGCCCAGCAGCACCCCCAGAGCAAGGTGGGGGACACCCCTCATACCTGGCATAACCTTGTGGTCCCCAAACCATCACTGCCAGCCACTGGGACCCAGCTTGAGTTGCTTTGCCCCAGTACCCTCATTCACACTCAGTTCAGCCCATCTGCTGCAGTTAATGTGACGCCATGGACATGAGCAAAGAACCCTGAGTACTGCAGAGCTTATTAACAAAGCCCAATTAATCCCTCGCTCATACACTGAGGGCTCAGACAGCACCAGCCACCAGCACTGGGCTGGCCAGGCTCCCCAGACAGGTACCCACCAGTCTGGGGACTGCCCGTGGGCTCACAGCACAGCTGCCACCACCAAGGGCATCCTTCTAAGGCAGCATCCAGCCACCAAACACTGCCAGTCACCAAAAGCACAGGAGCGAGCCAGGGGCTGCACACCACCGTAGGACACCTGAGTGGAGGAGAAGCCCCAGCAGCAGGAAGGAGAGGGGAACCCACCGGAGATGTTGGTGGTGATCTCGGTGAGCGCCGTCTGGCCAAAGCCCTTGCCGGTGCGGGCGCGCACCGAGAACAGGTAGGTGGTGCCGGGGTGCAGGTTGGAGAACACGTGGTAGGTCTCATTGCGCAGCTTGGACACCGTGCGCCGCGGGCCCGGCACGTTCACCGCGGGGTCTGAGGACTCGATGCTCTGGTAGCTGATCTGCAGAGACAGGGCACAACATCACCCATGGGAGAGGGGATTAAAACAATGACAGGGCACATCACCCAGATTCAGGTGGAGAAGGGATGAAAATAATGAATTCAGAGGAGGAGGTGGTCACGGGGCAGCCTGGAGGCAGCCAGGGACTTTCTGAGATGAAACAAAAGCTGAGGTTCACTGGAAAAGCCAAAGGGCTCAGGAGCAGCAGCAGCTGCCTCTAATCCTCATGGCCGACAGCCGAGGTTGTCCCAGACCCCTCCAACACACCCCTCAACAGGACCCTCCCGTGTCCCCATGTACCCCAGGTGCCACACCAGCCAGGATGTACCTCGTACTGCGTGATGAGGCCATTGGGCTCCACTGGCTCCTCCCACTTCAGGAATATCATGTCCTCCAGCGGGGTGAAGGTGAGCGACTCGGAGGCAATGCCGCCAGGCACTGGGGAAGGAAAGATGTGCTTGGATGCAGCTGGAAACCAGTCTGTAGGAAGAAATCCTCCAGGAAACCCCTCTGGGTGGCTGTGGCAGTTGTGCCCTGTGACTGAGCCACCACACTCCCTGTGCCATGTCACCCACCTCCAGCATGTGCCACCAGACAGGACTGGTGGCTCCCCAGGGAGACACCCAAGGCATTGATGCACCTGGACCCACTGGTGACACTTTGGCACGGGAGGGGGAGGTTCCCACACCAGCACAAACCCCACAGGTTTCAGCACCTCAGCCCAGGCACCAGCAGCAGCACAGGGTGCCTAAGCTTTCCATCATGAGGAAAAGAAATAAATTCCCTTTTTCTCCACAACCCAATTCCCCCCTGGAGCCATTAGCATCCTGTGGAGACACCGCCAGCAAGCAGCAACATCCTCACATGCAGACGGGCTTGACGTGGCCCAGCCTCCCCTCTAATTAACACCACCACAATAATAACTGTAATCACTGACGGCAATCAGCGGCGCCGGGATCAATATCCGCTCCCTTAGGATGGATTCCCCCACCCGAGGCGGTCAGCAAGGAAAGGCAACAGCTCGGGACGGCACCAGCAGCATCCCCCACTCCCAAACCTTGCAGGGGACAGCAGCTCTTCTCTCTGATTGGCTTTTTTCACAGCTTTTGTTCGGGTGTAATTACGGGACTGGGAGAGAGGGATCACCTCCCGAGCTTCCCACCGTGCAAACGCACCGTTTCCACCTGATTTACAAGTTAATTTAATCAGAGGCACTGTGTCCTACACATGTACTCAGGCACTTATTAAATTCGGGAAGAATTACGGAAACCTGTAGGGCAGTAAAGTGTGTACCTACAGAGATTGGGTTTTAATATACAGAACCTACACTATATAAAATTATATGTTATTTTCTATTATTATATATAGACAATTACATCTTATTTTCTATTATTATATGTTGTATCATTGTTATTGTCTCTATGATAATTTATATATTATCTTAATATTATAATACCTATATATTCACATATATATATATATATATACACATATACATATATACGTATATATATATATATATATATATATACACATACATATTTACATATTCAAGTAGAGGTATCGTGCTTCCATCCCAGGTTGAGAGAGGCACAAAATGCACACAACAGCTCCCAGGTATGCACATACCCCTCTGCTATCCATATTTGCACACATATATTTATTTATGGAATTATATATATTTATCCTGGCTTGCATCACATGCACCCGGCCTGCTTCCAGGAGAAGTGGCTCCCTGCAGCACCATCACATTGCAGAGACATTTCCACAGGTCCCTGGGATTGAGTTTCATCATTTCATGCACACACAGAATGAAGTCTCCAGCTGTGGGTCACCTGGATCCATGGGGGGCACTGAAACACCAGCTGGACAATCTATGGACACAGCACACCTCCCTCAGTGTCCTGCCCACAGACCAGCACAGCTCTGCCTGGGGTCCAAGAAGGATGCTGTAAACAACAGCCTTGGTTTGGCCCAGTTACTTGGATTTTCCAGCCCCAAACCAGGGTTTACCAGTCAGGATGGGGAGGCTGCATCTTTGCAGCCTACCAACAGCAGCCCCAGGGGATGCTGCTGCCAAAACTGGCCTTGTGCCAGAATAAACCACAGTTAAACCTATCATGTTTTAATGATAGGATTCTGAGTCCTATCATTAATAAGCTTTCAGCACCTTGGTTTACTTGCAGGGGCAGCTGTTCATCCTGCAGTTCGAGGAGCTCAAACCCTCATCATCCTCCCAGGCAGGCTGGGCCAGACACATGAGAAGTATTTGCCACATATCCGTAGGAGAATATCCACAGATCCATTGCCATCAGACTGAATGTATACACAGCCTCAAGTTCAATCCAAGGGGGAAGACAGCAGCCCCGGTTAATTGAGGCACAGGAAAAAGCAGCTGGAGTGATTATAGTATAGCAAAAAGACATCTGGAGCTCCTGTATTAATATTCCATAAGCAAACAGCTGGAGCAGTCACAGCCCAGTGAGAACAACTGGAGCAATTATAGCTGGAAAATAAAGCTCTGGCAGGGCAGAGCAGGGTGCCCCTGCTGGGGCAGGCTGAGGGCTGGGGATGTGGAAAGTGTACAGAGGAAGGTGCTAGATTTAGGCCTTGAAGACGAAAAAGGACCTGGAGGTGCTTTCAGCTCCTCTCCAGCTCTTCAGGTTTTGATTTCCAGCCTGGGAGACAGGAGCAAGCTTTGCACAGGTAACGGCAAGTCCTGTGCAGGGGAATTCCATGGCAGGCTTCTCCTCAGGGGTCCTCCAGGGCTCTGGAGGCAGCTCAATCATTTGCAATTACCAAGTTCCTTCCCTTTAATTGATGATTTTTTTATGCTAAAAAGTGCTTTGGAGATTAATTCCATTCTTGTTTAACAGATGTCTCTTCCATGAGAGCCAGGGATGCTCCAGCCACACTCAGCAGTGGGAGAGGCCAGCTCTGGATGCGGCCTGTCACTGATGGGTGGCACTGGACACACAGAGCCACCTCTGTCCTGTAGCTCCTGCCATATCCCTTGGATCTCCAGAGCCCAGAGTGACTCAGGCACTGCTGATGGCAAGCTGCAGACAGGGTGAGGGGCAGGTGAGGCCGGACCTGGGAGACCTCTCCAGCAGCCTCAGCTTGAGCAGATCCTCAGGGAAGGGCTCATCAGAGCAAGAGAGTCCAAAACCAAGAAGTCCTAGAGCAATGCTGGAGCATCCATCAAGGATGTCTACCCACTCAGGTGACAGGGAACCCAGAACAGGGTGCAGCCAGAACAGAGGGGAAACAGGAGCAAAGCTGCTGCCAGAAATTGGGGCCTGATCACTGCAGAGCTCTCTGCACAAACCCAAACCCACCTGAAAGCAAACTTCACCAGGGAAGAGCACCAGGGAAGTCAAGAAAAGCTGCACCTGCCCTGGTGAACAGCACTTTCCCAGAAATGCAGCAGTGCCCAATCCATCAGAAACCAAGCAGATAAAAGATGTTACCTGAGTGCAAAGCATTAATTGTTTTAATTGCTGTTAGTATGGCTGCCAGGCTTTGGTTCCCAAGAACGGGTGAGTGAGGACAACTTGTGCTGAGAGAAACTGGGTATGAGCCAACTCCCACACCCGCCATTGGGCCAGCCAGGGATAAAATTCCACTCCAAGCACGAGGGCAGTGTGTCCACAGTGACACCCTCATCCAATCCCTGATGAGGGTGTCACAGGGATCCCTCCCAGGCCCCTGGCATCTCCCTTCCCCAGACACCCTCAGTGCCCCTTTCCCTCACCTCCTGTTGCACACCTCTGGGGCTGCAAGATCCTTTTCACCTCCTCCTTGGCTCAGGAGATATTCCCATCATGCCCATAGGCCAGGAGCCAGGGATGCACACCATGCCACAGGAAAAACCCCAGCAGCTCACCAGCTACAGAATTCCAATTTTGGGGATGACGCATCTCCCCGAGCAGACTCACCATCCTCATCTGTCTGGAATATCACCTCCTTGCCCTCCTTGCGTCCCTCAGGGTTGGAGAGGATGAGCTTGACGTGGATGTTCTTGTAGGGCAGCAGATTTTTGATGGTGTAGCGGTTGGCGTTGCGCTCCATCTTCACACACTCCTGGAAGGTCTGGTTGTGGCCGCTGCCCACGAAGTAGCGGTAGCACAGGGACATGGTGTACGTGTGGCAGCGGGTCAGGTTGTAGCCCAGCGGCTCCCACTGCAACGTCAGCTGTCGGGACTGGATTTCAGAGAAAGCCAGGCCCTTGGGGGCTCGCATGGGCTCTGTGGGGAACAGAGACAGGGAGAGGTGAGCAAGGAGGCAAACTTCTCATGGATTTATGCGTCTTATCAGGGAAAACCCTTTTGTCCATAGGGACAAAAGAGATGACTGCAGGCAGAGAGCAACCCTGACTGCAAAACTGGGACCACCCCAGCATAGAATGCTGCTGCCCTGCAGAGAGGGCTGGGGACACCACTGGGGACATCTCTCAGCCACTAACCATGCAGCTGCCCCAGGCTCATCCTTCCCCGTGGGGGTGAAGCAGGGTACCAGCCCCACAAGCAGCCCCAGCTGCCCAGAAAGGTGCCTGCACCACAAGGGCCCTTGTGGTACCATCACGCCCAAGTCAGGCTCTTGAGACAAGAGGGACCAAGTGCCATCAGTGGGAGGGAGTTTAATCAGCTCTAATTGGACTGAATGGGAGAAGTTAACGAGGGGGCACCTCTGCCAACAGAACACACACAGACACACGCAGGTGCCTTCGGCTAGCTCCTCTCCTCAGCACAGGAAGGAGGAGGGCTGAGGTGCCAGGAGAGCCGTCCCAGGACGCCATGGGGCCCACCTGCGCACTTGGTGCGGCTGATGAGGGGCGGCCCCGGTTTGCCGGTGCCCCCCTCGCCGGGTCGGGTGAGCAGGACGCTGATCTCGTACTCCGTGTCGGGGTCCAGGTGCCAGAGCTTGTAGGTCTGCATGTTGACAGCGTGCACCTCGGACCAGGGCCCCGAGGTCATGCGGTACTCGATCTCCTTGCGCACGATGGGGCCGTCCCCGATGATGGAGTTGGTGTTGAGCTGGATGATGAGGTAGGTGGAGCCGGCCCGGAGCAGCTGGGGGGGGGCAATGGGGGTGGGGGGCTCTGCAAGAGAGCACAGAAGGGGCAGCTGGAGCATCCCCAGAGCCAGGCCAGTGCTGGCACAACCACAAGTACCACGGTTTTATTTTATTGTTTACAGGCTGCAGTCAATACATTTCCAGTGTCTCTTCCCACACCAACCCACCACACTCAGGTTGGAGAAGGGAACTTTTGGGGTGACCTAACTGTGGCCTTCCAGTATCAGAAAGGGGCTACAAAAGAGATGGAGAGGGACTTTTTATAAGAGCATGCAGTGACAGGACAAGGGAAAATGGCCTCACACTGACAGAGAGTAGTTTAGATTAGATATTAGGGAAAGATTCTTCCCTGTGAGGGTGAGGAAGCCCTGGCACAGGTTGCCCAGAGAAGCTGCGGCTGCCCCATCCCTGGAAGCGTCCAAGGCCAGGCTCTGAGCAACCTGGTTGACTGGAAGGTGTCCCTGCCCATGGCAGGGGGTGGCACTGGATGAGCTTTAAGGTCCCTTCCAACCCAAACCATTCTGTGATTCGTGCTGCAGAGCACAGAACAAATTCGGATTCCCCACCCAGAGGACATGGGAGTCACCCAAGTACAGGACAACACCATCCAGTCTTCAAACTTCAGTCTGTGCCTGCGCCCTCCATCACTTTCAGAAGGCTTCAAGAGCTGCAATAGGGTTTCATCTGATCAAACCTTAATTGTCTTCATAAGTCACACAGCCCAGCATGGTGCCACACAGTTTCACCATAATTAATTAATTCCCACCTACTGCAATCAAAAATAAATTATCTAAGGCCACCAGGAAAGGAGTTTCTGGTTTTATGCTGCACAATCTGTGTTTAGCAACTCTTCCACAGTGAGAAACTGCAATCCCAGTGTTCCAGGCATCCCACCTTCCTCTGCACACAGCGGAGCAGGAGCAGATCTCCATGGCACAGGGGGCAAGGGCAGCTCACCCACCTTTGACGATGAGCTCGGCGAAGTTGGAGACGCCGGCGCCGCGGGCGGACTGGGTGACGCAGCGGTACAGGTCCTGCTCCGCCTTGGACACGGCCTCCAGCTGGAACGTGGCCAGGAAGCGCCGGTGGCTGATGTGCTTCACCGAGGCGGCAGGGACCACCTCGCCGCTCTGCCTCTGCCCACGGGACACGCACGGCGTCACAGGGGGCACGGTGGCACCTCCAGAGCCACCAGGGGTGTCCCCACATGATGTCTGCTCAAAAGCAGGGGGATGGCCCTTCTCCCGCCGTGTCCAGCGGGGTTTTGTCCCACAGGAAAGCCGTGTGTGGGGCTGGCTGGGGCCGTTTCACCACCACCATTCCTCACCTGCATGAGGAAGCGCTCGGCCTCGGCAGCCTTGCCAGCGGCCACGCACTGGAAGGTGGCGTTCTGTCCCGCGTTCACCTCCACATCACCCAGGCGGGAGAAATGAGGCGCTTTTGCTGCCGAGGGACAAAGCAAGAGGTGAGGAAGGACCTGAGGTCCAAGGAGACCCACAGCAGCACTGCCACAAAAATCCCTCCCCACCCAAAAACCCACCCAGGATGTCACAGCTGAGCCGAGGTCTGGACAGGCCTGATGCCCACCCTCAGAGCCTGGCTCCAAGTGAGGCATGTGTTCCTGTCCCCACAGAAGCAGCCCAGGGAGGGATGAGCCTTTCTCTCCAGCACCCTGCAGTGCTGGTGCCAGATGCAGGGTATGGGATGATAGAGGGGGCAGGTCTCCTGCCCAGCCTGGAAGAAATAGGATGTGACCCCAAGAGCCAATGTGTTGGGACAGTCTGGGATTTGGGACCCCCACCAGCCCAGGTGGCCCCTCCTGATGGGGACACTCAGGCCTTGTGTTCAATCTGTGCTTTTCCAAAGTTTTATAAAAACTGAAAGCAATGTTGCAGCTGGTGGGGATAGGGATGGAGATGCAAAAGGGGCCTTAGAGGCGCCCAGGAGATGGAGATCCACCAGTCCAGGTAACACCAGGACACCCAGGTGCCCTGGCATTAGGCCCTCCACTCTCCCCAGGACCATCCCAATGGACACCAGCTCCAAGCCCTGCTGCCCAGATCCCCTCCGGTCCCATCCCACAGCACTCACAGCATGGATAATTCAGGAGCAAAATGTCATCCAGGCCCAGGTAGCCCCTGCGCTCACTGGAAACCACGGCCTCGAAGAGCACCTGCGGCACCAAACAGGGGTCAGCCGTGGCCGGGGGCCGCAGTGGGGCCGGGGGGCTGCTGGGCCTCACCTGGTACTCGCTGGGCCAGAAGAGGCTGACTGCCAGCTCTGCCTGGTGCCACTGGCGGCCGTGCGAGCCCGAGGCGTTCCACACGGCGCTGCCCAGCAGGCCCCCGGTGACCCAGACGTAGGCGCTGAGCGTGCCGGGGCTGTGCCCGTCCCGGCTGAACATGAAGTAGCTGAACTGAAGGCAGTGCGTGTCATTCTCACTCAGTGCCTGGAAGAGCAGCTGAGCTTTCTGGCCCGGGGTGTGCTGAGAGGAGTTCACCATCAGGTAGGAGCCTGCAGCAGTGGGGGAGAAGGGGGAGAGAGTGGGGTTAACTGTAAGGATGGTGAAGGGTCTGGAGGGGCCATACAGGGGGTGCCTGAGGGCTCTTGGTGTGTGCAGCTGGAGCAGGGCAGAGCTCAGGGATCTGCAGCTCCTCCCGAGGGGCAGCTCCCATCTCTGCTCTGGGACAGGGACAGCAGCCAGGGCACGGCTGGGGCTGGGCCAGGGCAGCTCAGGCTGGAGATCAGGGCAAGGCTCTTCCCCCAGAGGGTGCTGGCACTGCCCAGGCTGCCCAGGCAATGGGCACGGCCCCGAGGCTGCCAGAGCTCCAGGAGCCTTTGGACAGTGCTGCAGGAATGCCCAAGATGGGGTTATTGGGAGGTCTGGGCAGGGCCAGGGCTGGACTGGATGATCCCTGTGGGTCCTTCCCAACTAAGGAGATTCTATGATTCTAATCTCTCTGTTCCACCTCTCCTGAGCTTTGCCAGCAGGGAATCAAGAAGGTGGAGGATATGGGACCACAAAGATGCCCATGTGCCCCAGGGCACTGGTCCATGACAGTCAGAGAGGATGTGCAGGACAGGAGGGACTTGGGATGGAGCCAGAGCAGACATCCTCTGGGCAGCAGCAGGACACTGCAGTGGGACCTGACTGCTGGATGAGGAGGGGAGGATCAGCGCTGCACCTCCCCAGGGCCCCGCGGTCAGGAAAGGCTCCGATGTTGCCCTCCCTTAACTCTCAGAGCTTTGGTTGCATCAGTCCCGCCCCCAGCCGGGCCTCAGCTGTTCCCCTCCATTCCCCACTCCTCGCACCATTTACCACACAGTTGTCACAGGGAAATCCTCCTTGGCTTAAGGAGCAGCAGCAGCATCCCAGCTCTCGGGGGTGCCTGGGATGTCACTCCCAGAGCTGCCCCACCACCAGCAGCAGCTGCTGGGATCCCACCTCCCACCACCCAACATCACCAGCAGCAAAACCAGCACAGCCTTGAAGCCATACTTATAGGGCAGGCAGGATGACAATGCCAAAGGGGATCCCTAAGGCAGCAGCATTCCCTGCCCTGCACGCTCCAAGCCAGGCAGTCTGGAGGCAGGAGGGGGATGCAGCAGTCCCAGCCCCTCGTGGCAGCTCCCAGAGATGTCCAAGACAGCCATGGGGACATCCCATACAGGATGGATGGGATACAGGATGGATGAGAAGCTGCCACACCAAATCCTCCCCCTCACCAAAGACAAGGGGATTATTAATCTCCATTTTAATACCAGCAGAAGCTGTAAGTAACAAAGCTGGGTCATTTATTCAAGCCTACCATTGTTTCCTGACAGTCAGTGCTTTATTACCAATTAATTCTAAGCTCAGGCACTTTCCTCCCCTCGACTCCCACTGAGCAGCTCCAAGAGAAGCCAAAGGAAGGTGAAGGGGAATTGCAGGGGGCACCCATCCATCTCCCAACAACACTTGGGGTTGCAAGGGGGCACCCATCCATGCCCATGCAGCATTTGGGATCACAGGGGAGGCCCATCTACTGCTCCAGAGTTTGGGACCTGCACCTGGGGGAACCCCAAAGCACCCAGGAGGTCACAGCACCAGCTGGGGTGACACAGAACCAGATGCATCTCCCAGTGCACCCTTCAGGGACGGGAGCTGGGGCAAGGGAGAGAAATCCCTGAAAGGAAAATCTTCCCCACACCACTGACCTGTGTGGCTGCCTGGCCCTGCCAGCCCCTTGGGGTGGCTACTCAGGGTGAAATAAAACGATGACAATTTATTTCCTCGGAGTCCAGCACAGCTCGTTTCACCCACCGAGGGGAAGGCACTATGCCCATGCTTCTCTTTTTTCTCTTCTCATTTCCCCCAGCAAAATTACTTCTGCTCTAATGAGATCAGCCCCATTTGGTCCAGGCGACAGCAGAGTGGAGAGAGACCATTGACCCACCCCATGCCACGGGACATCTCCCAAAAGCCACCTCATTAATGAATGGGCTCTTGTTAACAAACACAGACCCTTCCTCTGCCCTCGCTTTACAAACAAAAAGCCATAGGACCAAAATAAAGAGGCCAAGACTAAAATTAAACCACTGATGAGTTATTTTAAAAGACAGAGAATGCCCATAAGGTCACCTGGGAGCAGTGATGCACCTGAGCATCCCTCATCAGGCAGGGCTTCCCACACACACTATTTTCCCCTCTTCATTTTCTTCCTGGTGTTGCACATTGGAAAAAGCAGGTTCCAACCACTCGCTTTTGTGCTAATTTTATCCTCCTCTGCTGTAAATATCTGACATTAGCCTGAAGCCCAGGGTGTAGGTTGGGTTTCTTTTATAAACATAAGAGAAGCAAAGGTACTTCAAACTGCCAGAGGGCAGGGTTGGACGGGATATTGGGAAGGGATTGTTCCCTGTGAGGGTGGGGAGGGGCTGGCACGGGTGCCCAGAGCAGCCATGGCTGCCCCTGGGTCCCTGGCAGTGCCCAGGGCCATTGAAGCCCTGACTGCCCATGGGAAGGGGCAGCTCTTCCCATCACGCTGCCCATCCCAAGGGTTCTGCCTGCCACTGCATCCCTCCAGGAAAAACCCAAGCAGCCCTGCAAGAAGCAGAGGGAAGAACTCATTGCCCCCACTTCCCTGTCTCAATATGTTTTTCCTCCTACAAAATCACTGAGAGATAAAAATAAATTAAAAAAAAAAAAAACAACTTCCAAGAGCTATTAGAAGGCAGGGAAGGCAGGCAGGATGACAGGGAGAGGGTGGCACTGTCAGACAGGAGGTGCCAGGGGAGCAGGTCTGAGCTCTGCAGCATCTGCCTCCAGGAATTCCCGCTGGAACACAAAGCTGACGTGTGCCGGATCCTGCTCTGTGTCTCAGCCAGCACGGGAACCAGGGAACCACTGACTCCCCACTCTGTGCTGAGCAGCCCCAGCACCAAGGGCTGACCTCCCACCACCACAGGGTCCTTGGACAAACTGCAGCAATTCCCAAGGGAGCGAACCATCAGGCTTTGTTGGTCAAGGGTTTTATGGATTGCAGCAGGAGCTGATTGGGAAGCACTGCTGGAGCTGAGAGCTGAAGGAGCAGCTCCTTGGATGGGGAGACATCAGAGCTCTTCAGGGTGGGGACAACCACTCAGTCCCTCCAGCACAGGGATTGGTTTGTGCAGGGACACAGCAGTTCCATGCACTGAGATGCTCCAATGCACAAGGGGTTTCCTAATGTCAGTGAATTTGGAAGGAAAATCTAGGAAAAATCACATTTGAGGGGAAAAAAACACCCACAAATATGTTGGTTTAATATTTTGAGCGAGGGACCTTAGAGCCTCTTTCAGTACTAAAAGAGGAGAGCTGCAGAGGGGCTGGGGACAAGGACGGAGGGACAGGAGGCAGGGAATGGCTGCCAGTGCCAGAGGGCAGGGCTGGATGGGATCTTGGCAATTGGGAATTGTTCCCTGGCAGGGTGGGCAGGGGCTGGGCTGGAATTGCCAGAGCAGCTGTGGCTGCCCCTGGAGCCCTGGCAGTGCCCAAGGCCAGGCTGGTTGGAGCTTGGAGCAGCCTGGGACAGGGGAAGGTGTCCCTGCCATGGCAGGCGTTGGAACTGGATGAGTTTTAAGGTCCCTTCCACCTCAAGCCAGTCTGGGATTACAAGCTCACACCTGCCTTACCCAGCTTCCTGCAGCTGCTCCTTCACAAAAGGAATAATAAAGAGACAAAAAAGAAAAAAAATCAAGATTGCAACATGGGAGAGACCCATTCATCATATTTAGGTGAAAGAGAGACAAGTAGTCAAGAGAAGCAGGGGGGAAAGTCCTAAACCAAACAAGAAAGCAAGAAGAGAGAAGGATGGCAAGGCAGCAGCAGGTGGCCAGCAGCCAGCACCCACTCCAATAAATCCTACACTCCTTGAAACTGGCTGATCTCCAATAAAAACTCATTTTAATCTGAGACCACGAGACTCCTTTGGAAAGTGCTCCCTGGAGAGGCCCTGGCACTGTGAAATCCTTCTGATCCCCTGAGCTGCTGCAAGGACCAAGGGGGTGAGGGGGCTGCAAGAGCCTCATGCACAGCTCCCCACCCAAAACAGGGTAAAACCACCCAAAAACAGGGTCCCTGCACCCCCCTGGTGCCCCATGATCATGAGCAAACAGCACTACCTGGTCTGAGGGGAGCTCCAGGGACAGGAATCCTCTTCCTGGGGTGACACTGCAATGCTCACACCCTCCAACCCGAGATGTCACTTCCCCATCAGTCCTGGAGTTTATTCCTTAAACTCTTTGTGTTCCTTTAAGGCCCCATCTCCTGCTGAGCCACAGTTTTTTCCTCAAGCAGGGAGAGAAGCCCCATTCCACCCAACCCTCCAACCCCCTGCAAGCCCCCAGGCTTTTAAGTCAGGCAGTTCACTGCAGATTTTAAATTACAGCTGAATATTGAGCAGAAAACTCAACTAATTACAAGTTTCAGACACTCCATCATGAGCCACCTCAAGCCCCAGCTCTGCTTTCCCCAGGAAACGCCCTGGACACACACCAATTAGGGTAGCTCAGTTTAAAGCAATTACTTGGAAAAATCATCCAGGGAGGATCAGGGATGTGCCAGCAGATCCCTGCCCTCGCCCTGCACCCTGGACATGCCAGGAGGGACAGGATGGAAGGAGAAGGTGATGGGGAAAGGTAATGGCAGACCAGAGTTAGTGGAGGGGGAAAAGCCAAATTAACCCCTGGCATGAACAAAGCCCAAGACAAACAGCTGGAGGCAGGTTTGATGGAACAGTAGAGAGTTTCCTATAAAGTAGGTAACATATTAATAAACAGAAAAGGTGATTTTTACTGTTGAGCTCCAAACAAGCTCTCCTGTTTTTCTGCCCATCCTCAGCACAGGACTGGCCGCTCAGGATCAGGCAGGAGCCAGCAGTCCCAAAAACAAGGAGCATCCCAAGTCCAGTGAACCTCACTGAGCAAATGGGCTCAGAGACAACTCAGGGGGGTCACAGCAGGAGAGAGTCCAGAGCAGGGAGCGAGCAAAGTCCCCAAATGCACCCACACCATCCTCCTGGAGAGGGGAGCTCCTCACACCTGCCTGGCCGGGTCTGCTCCCCCAGCCTGGCCAGCAGAGAGGAAATGGACCCAGAAAATAACACAGAACAGTTCTGAACCAATGAGATTTTCTTTAAAGTCCATTTTAATTTTCTTCCTTACTATTCCCACCACTTTGGAGATGCCCCCACCTAACAAGCCCTTCCCCACACTTGAAAACACCAGAAACAGGTTTTTTCCCCCATTTCCCACATAAGCAGGCCAAAGCCAAGTCTAAAACACTGCAGGAATTAAACCAGGAGGAGTCACACAGTCCAGCCCTGGGGTCAGGACACAAAGGCAGGGTAGGGACAGAGGGCCCAGGGGGACCCTGGCACTCACCGTGAGGCAGGTCAGGCACCAGGTGAGGCATCAGGTAACTGCGCAGGAGCTCCCAGTCGAAGTCATCATCCTCACCCTGGCTGTACTCACACTGGTTGGGCTCACTGTCCTCCTCGAAGGTGCAGCCAGCTGTGGGGACAGACCCGTCAGCCCCTGAGCCCCCAGAGCGGCTGCTCTCTCCCCAAAAGCCCAGCAGGAGTGGGTGATGGCCCTGGAACGCCCCACCAGGAGGGGACTGCAGGCACTCCCCAAGGGCACTGTGAGCAGGGCTCTGCCCCTGGGTGCCACCAGGCCCCCACGGCTCCTGTGCAGCTTCACCAGTGACACAGGCCAGCAGGCGCCAGGGAGGCCCTCACAGCAGGAGCAGGATGCAGCTCCCAGCTTGGCTTCTCAGGGCTTGGTAGCACAAGGGGTTTCCCCCAAGAAATATCATTTGGCTGTGGCGGCCACACAAAATTTGTGCTTTGAGCCCAACTCTCCACCTGTGGCTTGGGCTCCCGGGGGTCTCTCCGTGGCCTGATGTGAGTGTGGCAGTTCTGAGTCAGGACCCCCAACCCTGAATGCAGCCCTGAGCCCCCCCTTGGCACTGCTGAGTCCTTTTGGCAGTCACATTTTATTACAGATTTACCTCTTGGGGGTCTGAGGGTGTTTACACAGCACCTCCCTGGTGCACAGCATGCTCAGCTGAGCACGGAGAAGCGCAGCAAATGCCACAAGGCCGCTTGTTCCCACGGGATGTGACACAGAGAGAGGCCCCTGTCCCACATCCAGCCCCTCCCGTGATCCCACATTCCAGTCCAGCCCCATCCAGCCCTCCCATCATCCCCCATCCAGCCAACCCCGGAGCTCAGGTCGGCTTTGCCGTGGGGCCACCGGGGGCTGTGGCTCACACTGCCCCATTGTCCCATTAAAGCCACGATTAAGGGACCGGGGCACAGCGCTAATTAACGGGGCCGGGCTCACCAGGGGCCCCGGGAGCCCTGAGCAAGCGGAATGAACAACAGCAAACATCCCCCAATGCACCGGCAGGAAAACAGACCTGGGCCAAGGGATTATTTCTGCTGTTTTCTTCCTATTTTATCCCAAATTACATCAGTAATTCCGCCCGCCACCTGGGGATCTGGCAGTTAATGGCCTCGCTGCTGGCACGGGTTGTGCCTCCCTGTGCTCAGGGATGCTTGGATGCAGCATTTAGTCAAACACGAGTCCAAACACTGGGAAAAAAGCCCATAAGATGCTCAGGAAATTTCAATTCCCAACTCTTTCATATATAAGAAGGCATTTGTGGCTTTTTTCGCCCCTTTGCACTCATTTTTTTAAAGCACAAGGGCACATTCCAGCTCCATCACCAACTGTTTTTTCCTCTCAGAGCCTTAAGAAACTTCTTTTTAAAAACCTGTAAGCAAATTCTGTCCTATTCATATGTCTGGAGGCACTGAGACATCACAGCTTTCTTAAAGCCCTTCCCGAAATGGAGCGTCTGCCCAGCCCACGTGCGGATGTGCCCCCGCACCGCAGCCCCTGCTCCTCAGCTCTCGCCACGAGATGTGTTGGATTCTAGAGTCTGGAACTTGGCTGCACTTTCTAACAGGAGGAAAAGCACAAATCTGTCAAAATTTTCCAGGAAGGAAGGGAAATAAAATAAATTTCAAAATAAAACACTGTCAGAGACTAAGTGCCAAGTGATTTAAAAGAAAAAAAGGCCCAAGTGTTTCTTTCCAAGATCTGCTGAGCAGGATATTCTGGGAGGCAGAAATTTGTTCTTGGGGGATTTTTTTTTGGCCTGATAAACCAGAGCAGAGTCAAACAATGTTTCAGTCTGGCAGAGCCCCATTTCCCAGGGAAAAGTGATTCCTTCACCCCCAATAAACCATTCCCAGCCACTGAAAACATAATATGTACCCTACTCCTCCTCCTGGCCTGCAGCCCCCCACCCAAATCCTGCTGCCATCCCCAGCACAGCCACTGCCACCAACCCATCACCCCACACCTGCATCCTCAGCCACCCACGAGATGATGCCAGGCTGCAGAAGTTTAAAATGCAATTACAGAGCAGATATGTGCTGGCCGAGCTGATCCATCTCCCTCCTCAGACAGGTTTACTGCCAAGGCTTTTCCCGGCACGAGCCTTCCCTCCATCCACGGCACAAAACAAAGGCAGTTCCACTGGCCACTCCATTTCCCTGACGAATTTGTCCATGATTTGTACACACAGGGAAAAAAGCCAAAGGGGCTTCACAGAACCTTGGTTTCCATGAGTTGGGGGATGCTTCTGGCACCATCTCTCCCCAGCCAAGGACAGGGCTGGGAGAAGCCCGACCTCCAGCAGACTCTCCCTCCTCATCACAAGATTAAGGGCATAAAAATTAACACCTGAGCAATTAAATGCCAACAGCCCAACTCCATAGGGGGTGACTGGAGGTGCTCCAGCAGCTGTGGAAAGTCAGAAAGGGGAAACCCAGAGCAACCTGCAAAAAATTAATGTTCCATCACAACGCTTGCAAGGAGGGCAGGGAGGCTGCAACCCAAAATATCCACCTGCAGCAGTGGGAGGGTTATTCCATCCCAAGGGCAGCAGGACAAGGACTGTGGGAGCCGGGTGAGGCTGCTCCAGGTATGGATGCATCCTAAAAAGGAAGCAAGGAGCCCCCTGAGCTGGCCCCAGGCCAGGTGACAGCAGCTCCGGGCGCGAGGTGAAGGCAGCGAGCGCAGGAGGTGCGATCCCAATGCAACAGCAGCTAAAAATACTGCAGGGAGCTGGGGTCTGCCACCCCAGCAGGGGGTGGGACGTGTCCCAGACACAGCCTGAACACCCCAGAGCTGCCTAAATCACCCCCAACACAGAGCCTGCCCCATGCACAAGAGGCAGCCTGTGCCAAGGATGAGACGCGCCCCACCAAACACCCCAGAGCATCACACGTTCCTGGGCAGAGGGCAGAGAGGGATGAGCACCAACACGGGGGCTTAACAACAGATGGACCAGAATTATTTTTAAAAAAGAGATAAGAGGTGGTTTGAGAGATTTGCTATGAAGATGGGGACCAGTGCTGCTCAGCCTCCTCCAGGTGCTGCTACCACCTCCATGGATCCACCACGTGCCCAGGTGGAAGGGAGCAGAGAGACAGGCACCAGTGTAGAGGTTAAACACCAGATGAAGCAAAATTGTTTGAAAGAAGGCAAAAAAAGGTGGCAGGAGGGGTTTGTCAAGGAGTCTGGTAACAGGCTCAGCATCTCCTTGGGTACCACTGCAGCACCAGGGCACACTGAGAGAGCAGGGGCATGGGCACCAACATGAGGGTTAAACACCAGATGGATTAAAAATTCTTAAAAAGAAAGAAAAGAAGGTGGCTTAATGGATTCAGCAGGGAGAAGGACACCACTGCCACCCAGCATCCCCCTCTACAGGGATGAAGAGGAGGAAATCTGGGGAGGGGAGGGACTAGTGATTCACAAAGAAAAGGGAGGAAAAGAAAGACCAAACAGCCAAGTACAAAGGACAGCATCTAATTAATTCTCCGTGGCCACCGAGGAACGTGGCCGCCTGCCTACAGCCCACCCCGCGCTCTTTCATCCACAGAGTCTGCACTGCTCTTGCTTCCAAGTTAATTACACACTTAAACCCTTCCTGTTTAACCTCCTGCACCATGGGACACAATCCGTGTCTTCTCTTGCCTTCTACTGAGCAGCCTTGAGAAGCCTCCTCTGCCAAAGGGCAGCCCAGCACCATCCAGGACTGGGATCACAGCCCAGCCCCATCCGGGATTGGGATCACAGCCCAGCCCCATCCAGGATTGGGATCACAGCCCGGCACCATCCGGGATTGGGATCACAGCCCAGCCCCATCCAGGATTGGGATCACAGCCCGGCACCATCCAGGATCGGGATCACAGCCTGGCACCATCCAGAACAGCAGGACTGGGATCACAGCCTGGCACCATCCGGGATTGGGATCACAGCCTGGCACCATCCGGGATTGGGATCACAGCCCGGCACCATCCAGAACAGCAGGACTGGGATCACAGCCTGGCACCATCCGGGATTGGGATCACAGCCCGGCACCATCCAGAACAGCAGGACTGGGATCACAGCCCGGCACCATCCGGTATTGGGATCACAGCCCGGCACCATCTGGCACAGCAGGATTGTGCTCTCCCCCACCCAAGACCCTCTGGGGTATCGTCTGATGGGAACAAAACACCAATAATGTCCCAAAATGGGGACAGGCTTTGTGAAAAATGGGCTCATACCAAAACTTTAGCAAGTAAAATACAATGCAGCCACCCAGGACACCCAGTCCTGATGGGAAAAAGCCCATTTTGCTCCTACCCTGGCTTAGCCAGGACTGGATCAGCTCCATGGATCAGCATCTCTGGGGTGCAGCATCTTGGGAGCACAAGCCCCATGGCACAGGCACCAGCCAAGGGAGATAACGCTGGTCATATTTCAGAGTCAAAATAAATTTTTTATCCCTGGCCTTATCCAGCAGCTCCAGTCCTCCACCCCAAGTAATTGTCAGCAGGAAATGGGGAGGACTCAGGTACCCACATGACACATGACATGCTGCCCTGGCAGTCAAGTGCAAACACCCTGCAGAGTGAAACCATCATCTGACCATAGCAAGATGTGGCAGGGGATGAACAGAGCTCTCTTGCCATCAAATCCAAAGTTTTCATTGCCTCCCAGGAGAAGGGATGGAGGCGGAGGCTTTGCAGTTGCACACCCCCAAATTATCATGCCCAAGACCTCTCCTCTTAAATGCACGTGAGGAAGATGCTCTTTGTCTGCACCAAAGGATGAAGTTCTTCACACAGGATAAATGGTCAATGAGCTGCTGTAAATGGGGAAACCGAGGCACAGAGGGGATGTGGTGCAGTCCCAGCGGACTGGCAGCCCGGGATCACCCCAGGGATGGCAGCAAGCCCAGGGAGCTGGGTGTGATACAGAACCACAGCTCCAGCAGATGCCACCACGGTGCCATTCCTCCCCAGCACCCCGAGCAGAGCCAGCCTCCCAGCTCCCAGCTCCCAGCTGCTACTGAAGGTGCTTTCCTTGGCACACTCCCAGGGGAACTGCCCCGGGGAGGAAACGCCGGGAGCTGCTTCCCTCCGGGTGCCGGCACACACGGGGCA